TTTTAAATGAAAAATTGCTGAATAGACTCCACCAATTCTCTTTGCTAAGTGGATTGCAAGGGTCCACTTGTTCCACCATCTGGGAGCCTGTGGAGACTTGCTGGGAACAGGACTCCTGGAATGACAAGTACGTCTGCAAGGCTGTGCTCCAAGGCCATTCTTGCTGGCTCTAACTGGGGTCTCTGGAACCAGGGGGAGCACACAACTCTTCTTAAAACTTAAGGTGTCTTTGCTCCAGATGAAACTGAATTCTATCTAACCTTCTGTGTAGAAAGCAGAGAATACCACAGTGACTCCTGGTGGCAAATTGAATAAAACCAGTCATCTGGGGAAAAGTAACTCATGCTCCCGGAAACAGCGACATGGTTTGTGCCAAAATCTGAAGGCAACTTCCTGCTAAAGCCGCTGGCCACGGAATCTTTGTGACCCTGTGCCCCTCAAGGATTTAAGCTTACTGAAAAATAAAGGTACACCCTTTGCTTTCTTCTTTAAAAAAATCTAATCATCAGTTTTAACGTTTTTTCTTTTAAGATTTTATTTATTTATTTATTCATTCATGAGAAACAGAGAGAGAGGCAGAGACCCAGGCAAAGGGAGAAGCAAGCTCCACGCAGGGAGCCCGACGTGGGACTCAATCCTGGGTCTCCAGGATCACACCCTGGGCTGAAGGCAGCGATAAACCGCTGAGCCACCCGGGCTGCCCTTTTAATGCTTTTTTGAAATACTAAAATAAACAAATATTAAGCATTCCTTGTCATGACATAAAATCACAAACAAGCTTTATGTTCTGAATTATACATTTTTACATTTGAACAACACACAATAACTGCCACCATGAAAACAAAAGCACCGCAAGCAGGTCTGTCTCAGTCTCCGCCCTGCCCGCGTTGTCCCTGAAAGCTTAGCTCCCAGAAAGATGGTGACCTGAGGCTGCACGTCGGAGACCCTGGAAACAAACAAGTAGGCCATACCCTGATTGCCTTCAGCCCGCTGGACACCTTATCTTCTTGCACAACCGCGATGACCTCCTGCCCCACGTTGAGAAGCACCTTGCTAGTCACAGCTTCATTGGAAAAGTAGATCAAATCATCAATCATGCCATAATCGCTGCAGTACCTCGTCACCACACCCTGGAGGGTCTTCAACTTGGTGTCCCCTGAGACGCATAAAAAAAGAGGTTACCTAAAGCGTAAAGGCTAAAGCAGTGAACACTGCCGAGAAAGGGAAGCGTCCCTGGATGGAGCCCCCAGCTCACTGGAGCCCTCGGAGCAGGTCCCTCTAAGGCACAGGCGGTGGGCACAGCGGGTGGGCGTGGAGTCCACGGCCAGAGGCCTGGCTCTGACACCCCGATAGTCTACCGCCGCGTGGGGGTCTCTGTGCGCGTTCTCGACGGCGATACAGGGCCAGCCGCGGCCTCCACCCAATAGAGCTGCCCGGGCACAGGCCGAGCGCGGCCGCACAAGCTGGCCTCGGGGGGACCCCCGCGTGCGCACGCGCTGCCGTCACGGTCCTCCCGCACCAGGAACCCAGCCGCGGCGTCAGCGGGTTGTCACCTCGCCCAGCAAGGGGCCCGGGCACATTCTGGGCGCGGCGCGGAAGCCTGTCCACGCGGTGAGCGCTCCCCTGCCCCGGCAGCGCCTCTCCGGCAGGACGAGGCCGAGGTGCCCAGGGCGCGGGCACCGCCGTCGCGTGCAGTTCAAGTGGCTGCGGAAAGTGCGCGTTCCACGAGCCCGACGCCGGGGTCCAGGCCCTGGGTCCGCATACAGACGGCGCTTAAGCACGCTGCCCGCCCCAGGTCCGCCCCCGGTCCGCCCCTGGCCCACGGCTTCCGGCCTCTGGCGGCAACCTCACGTCTTCATAGATTAGAGGCAGCAACCGGAGGGCCACCGCTCTGGTTCTCACCCCGGAGGACCGGCGGGCTAGGGCCGCGTCCACACGGCACGTGGAGACCTGGACGCCCGAGGTTGGGGGGGGAGGGGCGGAGCAGCCCCGCGCTCCGGGTCACCGCGAGGGCTCTCGGGTGTTCCCAGAGCGGCTCCACGCCCAGCGCGGACCCGCCTCAGGACCCGCCGGGAGCGCCCCTCCCCCCGTGGCGTCACTCCCGGCGGGAGGGAGACAAGGCGACCCAGGGAGGCGCTCAGGGCCGGCATTCGGAGCCGCGCCGCCCCCCGCCCTGCCCCGCAGGCACCTTCCGCGAGCTCGAGCGCCTGCGGCCCGGCCTCCTCCTCAGTGCCGTCTGCCCTCCTCCAGAAGAACGCCAGCAGCTTGGCCGCGAGACGCAGCATGGCTCCGCTACTATTCCCACCGCCCGTCGCCCGCCACCCGCTGTCCGCACACGGCCACGCGCCTCCCGCCGCCCTCGACCAATGGTGTCGGCGCGAGCGCGCCTGAGCCCCTGCACCCTCGGCCAATGGGCTCCAAGTCCCCGCGCCTGCGCCCGCCCTTCGCACCCTCAGCCAATGAGCTCGAAGTCCCCGCGCCTGCGCCCGCCCTTCACGCCCTCGGCCAATGGGCTCCCTGCACGCGCGCGACCGTTAGCAGCGGGTGGCTGGCGGTTGGCGACTGTTAGCACGCGGCCCAGAGAGGCGAGGTGTGGGCGGGCTAGACGCCGGGCTGGGCACGTGGTGTCGCGCTGTGGGCGGGGCGCCGGGAGGAGGGCGTTGAGGGGCTCTGCTTGGGCTGCCTGGGAGCTCGTGCGTGACCCGCCCCGCCGCGCCTCCCGGCTCTGGCTGCGCGGTTACAGCCCTCGCAGTCGTTGGTTTTCTCCAGGGTCGCGCGTCTCTTACCTGTCGTTGCTGCTGATCCGGGCTTTGTACCTTCTTAGGGTGGAAAGGAGACGCGTGTTCGCCGAGCCCCAGTTGAGCTGAGCCTGCAGATGGCGGCGTGGATTCCGCGCACTTGTCCTTCGCGGAGACTCTCGGGCGGCCTCGGGGCCTCCTCTTCCCACCGCGCGGATAAACTTCTCCGGAACCGGCGTTTTCTCGCGTTTTTGTGCTAATTCCTCCTTAGCGTTTGTCTGGCTCAAAGCAGCGGCCTGCGCGAGACACCCGGGGGGGGGGGGAGGTACGAGTGAGGACCCGTCCCGTCAGCGGGTGTGTGTGGGGGGGTCCGTCCCGTTAGCGGCCGTGGCAGGGCGCACGTCCGAAGCCAGCGGACACTCCGCCTCAGCGTGGTCACCTGCGGCCGCGGCGAAGCTCCGTGGTGCCCCGCGTGGGGGCGGAGGCCGAGGAAGGGGCTGCGGGGCAGGCGCTGGCGGCGGCCCAGGCTCCCGCGGGGGTGGGGGGGGAGTGCGCTGCGCGGCCCCCCATGCGGCAGGCCTGCCTCCTGGACTGGTGCCCGCCGCCACCGCCGCTCCCCCGGCGGCGCAGCAGGGCGTCAAGGTCCGTCAGGGGCAGGCGGCGGCCTCGAGGCGTGGCTGCCCCGACGGGTCCTGCGGGCTCCTGTGCGCCTGCCGCTCTCGTGGCTGTGGCGCCTCAGAACCCGAGCGCCTGAGGCTCGGCGCCGACCCGTCCGCATCTGCTCTCACGGCGCGCGGCTTGCTCTGTGCGCAGCAGCGGATGCTCCCAGCGGGTCCGCCTCAGAGCCGCAGCCGGGGCTGCGTCCACGCCACAGGGCCTCAGGCCGGTGCCCGCCTCGTCCTTTTTCCGCCCCCGGCCGGGCGCCTCGGGCCCCTTGCGGCCGCAGCCCCCTGGCAGCGCTGCTGGAGGCTCCTTCCTCGCCTTCGGTCTTTGCTCAGGCGCCTCCGGCTCAGCGAGGCCCGTCCCGGCGCCGAGGGGCCTCGGGTCACGGAGGAGGGCTTCGTGTTGCGCGCTGTGCCCGCCGTTGCCGCCGCGGGAGGACTGCCGGACCGTGTGCGGGTGAGAGCGCTCCGGGCGGGCCGGGCGGCCTTTCCGGGAGGCGCCGTGTGTGAACGTGTGAAGGCAGCGGCGCTCTGGTGACTGGGAGCGCTTCCGAGCGTGGAGCGTCGATGGCCTGGGGCCCTGAGGTTCCGGCGGCGCTGCTGCTCTCCCCAGAGACTCAGTCGGGAGCGCGGCGCCGCTGACCCTGCTGACCGCGTCTTTCAAACAACCCCGAAGGGTCTGTCCGGCCACGTGGGCTCCTGCTCGCTCCGGCATCTGGGAGACCATCGAGGGGCGTCCTGGACTGGGCCAGGCCAACCTCGGGCGGGACGGAGCCCCATCGAGCCTCACATCGGCCGCGCTCAGCTCAGGGTCTGCTGGAGGCTCTGTGTCCCCCTACAGCCCCTCCCGGCTCTCCCCAAAAACCAGAAGAGACAACCAGCGAAGGTCGGGGGATTGCAGGTAGGTTCCAGCCCACTCTGGACTTCCCAGCAGGCGAGGAGCCTTCTCTTCCCCGGCGGGAGGACTCCGTGACAGAGCCGCCGTTAGGTGGACCCGTGCTTCGCTTGAGCTTTGTGTGGATCTGCAGCTTGAGGAGGGGGCTGTCCAGAGCGCCTCCGATCAGCGCTTCACAGCTCCCGGGTCCACAGAGAGCCCGTCGCTGTCGCCCTCAGGGCACCAGTGTCCCCGGGCCAAGTCTACTCAGTCCTTTTTCTTTGCTCAGTGAGCAGAAATAAAAGGCCCAGTGGGACCGCGGGGGCTGCCCAGGGGAGCCCGCAGCCACCATGCCAAGCAGGTCAGGGGCCCCGCCGGCCGCGCTGAGTGTGCAAATGCATGTGCGCCCCTGGGACGGAGGTCTTCCTCCGAGGTCACCAGACAGGGGATGGGCTGCCCGATAGGATGGATCACAAGGGCTTTGAATAAAAAGTTACTTGTTTGGAACCCTGGCACGGCCCGCCGCCCCGATTCTGCGGGGACCCGCGGCTGGCAGGTGCCCCCATGTCGCCCGCCTCCTCCCCCACCATCCCTGAGGGCTGAGCGGAGCGGGGCTGGGCGGGCAGGGCGGTGCTCCGTGCCAGCGGTTAGACAACCATGGATGGGCCAGCCCGCTGTCTCCAGCTCATTGACATTCGGGCAGCGGCACCCCTTCCCTGGCTTTGGTGCTGCTGCGACTTTTGTTCCCTGGTGAATAGCAGTTGCTGGAAGCCCGAGGCCGGATGGCTTGGTAGCAGCCACCTCTCGCCTGGAGACGGGAGACCAGGGCTCAGAAGCAAGCAGCTTAAGGTGCTTTGACCGGCGCAGGGCTCCTGTTGGTGCAGGGTGGGGTGTGGGGGGAGCCCGCATCACCCAGGCGTTACAGCCGCTTGGGGCTCTCTGGGAAGGTGATCGCAGCCCCTCGGGGGGAGGGGGGTTAAGTGCTGCTTTTTCCCTTTAGTTTTATGGCATCTCGGTGCGGCCGATGTTCCCCTTCCTGAAAACAACTTCCTTTAACTACTCTTGCTCCAGAGTGGCCCGGATAACAGCGGCAGAGGTGACCCCGGCTGCGAGTGCCACTGTCCTGGGGCTGCCAATGTGACGGTCTGTGTCCTGGGCACCATGACGCGGGACGAGCAGGGCAGGGAGGAGCTCGGTTATGATCGCATGCCCACCCTGGAGCGCGGAAGGCCTGACGCAGGGAGCTACGCCCTGGACACCAAGCCCAATGACCTCCAGCTGGCGACGAGGCTGCCCCCGTGCTTCAGTCACAAGACGTGGGTCCTTTCCGTGTTGATGGGGGTGAGTAGCTCCCCAGCAGGACTGGGGAGGCCTCCCCCTGCCACGAGCTGTCCCCTGGCCTAGGTGCCGTCCCCGGGGCCTGGGAGAGTACGCTTCCCGGACTACTTCTCCTCTGGAGCCCCTCAGGCCTGATGTGCTTACTTTGTGTTCTCTGGGCTCAGTTCACGAATGTCCAGCCCCAGCTACTGCTGGCCTCTGGGCTGTGGCTCCTCTATGTCCCACCAGGGTCGGGACAGCCCACGACCAGGCCTCCCCTCTGTGGGGTCATGCATTGCACTAGGGTAGCTTCCACCACCCTCTCCCCGGGGGGTCTGGAGTTGCCCTGCAAAGACAGGAGGAGGGGCCGTGCTCTGAGCAGACCTCTGGTCAGGGTCCCCAAGGAGGGAAGCCAGGGCCCTGGCACAGGAGAACCCTGCAGTCGGAGGGACAGGGCTAGCAGGAGGCAGGCCTGGGGTCGGGACATTTCCCGTCAGACATGCTTGCTGGGCACCGCACCTCTAAAGAGGTCACTTCCCAGAGCAGGCTCGCCCAGGCTGGGCCACTGGATGCACCTTCCTTCAGGGGGGACCCCAGGGCTCTGTGTGGCCTGGGCAGAGAGCTAGGATCCAGGCAGTGCCCTCCCCCCACACTGGGCTTTCCCAGGCCACCCCCCAGCACTCCCAGGGGTCCTGCCCACCCTTCCCTGTCCCACTGAGACGGTTCGCCCGTCCTCCCCGGGTGTGGAAGAAGCCTCTCCTCCCTGCTCCCAGGGTCCTGGACTCTGCGCTGCCTGCTGCTGCCTGTGGCTAGGACATACAATCCTGCTCATTTCCTCGCGAGGGCTGTGTCGTGGCTTTTCTGTTGCCTGGGCCCCAGGCCCCTTGCTCCCATCACAGTGGGGCGCACACACCCCAGCCCAGACCCTGGGGCTGGGCCTTTGACGCTGAGCCCCGCCCCAGAGCCTCACCCTCAGTGGTACAATCCCGTCTCCCAGGCCTGACGTGAGGCCTGGCTGCCCCCCCCAGCCAGGAAGCCCTTGGACCTGCAGCCCCTTCCTCGAGCAGTCATTTCCCAGCTGTCCACTTGGATTAGCTTTGCGGAGAGCACCTGATGGATGTTTGCCAGCCTCCGTGACGCCCAGGGGTTGGGATGCTAAGGCACCTGAAATCGCACATGGTGGGGTGTGTTCAGGAGAGAAGCACCTTTTCTTGCTTTAAATTTCTTTTTTTTTTTTTATTTTTATTTATTTATGAGAGAGAGAGAGAGTGAGAGGCAGAGGGAGAAGCAGGCTCCATGCACCGGGAGCCCGATGTGGGATTCGATCCCGGGTCTCCAGGATCGCGCCCTGGGCCAAAGGCAGGCGCTAAACTGCTGCGCCACCCGGGGTTCCCCTTGCTTTAAATTTCAACAGAGGTCTCTTTCTGTCTTCCCAGAATGTCGAGGCCCCTAGTCTGACACTGTGGGGGGAGTACGGGCTGAGGCTGTTTTTCAGAGAGGAGTCTGGTCTGGTGGGAACCGGGCGTCCAAGGTGGCATTGTACAGACTATTAAGTTGTAATCAGAGGACTTGATCCTCAAGTGCACACGCCTGTGTTGTCACTCGAATCGTGCTGTTTTGCAGAGCTGTCTACTTGTGACGTCGGGGTTTTCGCTCTACCTGGGAAACGTGTTTCCCTCTGAAATGGATTACTTACGTTGTGCTGCAGGATCGGTAAGCATCGCTCCTCTGTCGCGTCTTTCAGTACCGAGGTTTGAGGTGCATTGGAGTTTCTTTGCTCTGAAATCTGCGTGTTGCTTTCCGTTGCTCCTCGTTCAGTATCTCCCATTCTGACTTGAGTTTCAAGTAAGATTTTTACTTTTGAAGTGATTGCTGCAAGTGTCAGTCTCACTCCGCAGATTCCTTGATGGGAAACGGCCCTTGGGTTTCTAGTGGCTGTGAGCTGGCAGGGAGCCCGGCCTCTGCTCTCCTAGAACAAAGCCTGTTGAAAGAATGTGACCCATCCCCTGCTGTTCTCTCTGGAGCCTTCTAGGTGGCCCTTCTTGGGGGTCACAGTGACTTCTGACCCAGATGCTCCAGGGCAGCGCTGACCTCGACTGGATGTCTCAGCAAAACATCAGAAGTGGCAGGCTGAGGAGACAAGCATGTTCTTCCCCCAGATCCCCCTGTGCCCTCACAGGCCCAGCCCCAGGGCCCTCGTCCACCCACTGCTCTGCGTCCTGCAGGCTCTGTCCCCGTGGCTCATGGGGTCTGTGGGGTCCTGTTGTCCTCAGGGGTGACATCTGGCATGGCCCACAATGCCCAGGCTGGTGCCCTTCCTTCCACCTCCCCACTGGCCTGACATCCCCACACTTGCCCTCCTCATGCTTCACTTCTGTGGGGGTCAACTCTGGGGGTGTGGGTCTGACGAGAATCTCGTAGGGGTCCTGGGACTCCTGAACATTTCTTCTCCCTTCACACAGACACGCTTTTCCCTTTTGGGGTAAAACGTGAGCTAAGGTGAACTCTGCTGTTCTGCAGTCAGTAGAGGGGACAGTCTGGCTTCTAAGTGTGTTCAGTGAGAATAGCTTCCATTATCTGTCTGCTTTGTCTCTTCAGAAAAATTAAACTTTTCCCAGAATAAATCATTTTGAAAGGCACGAGACCTTCTACCATTGGCAACACCCCTGTGCCTGCAGACTGGTGGCACTTGTTTGGCTGGCATGTCTTGGGTCATTCTGGAAGCTTAAGCACTGCAGCCCAAATAGGGACACCCAGGGGATTCACCACTGGCTCACAGAGCTCTGGTTTCTTTTCAGTGCCTTCCCTCAGCAATCGTGAGCTTTGCCGTTTCACGGAGAAACATCAGTGCGGTGAGTCCAGTTTTCCGTGCGGTCTCTGCAGGTGTGGGGACAGCGCATGGCTCCCAGCTGAGCAAGAGCCCCAATGGCAGAATGTACCAGGCCGCAGGCTGGGGAAACTGGCCGAGGCCGCCTCTGGGACTGACGGGCACCCGCCCGTGTGTGTGTGTGTGTGTGTGTGTGTGTGTGTGTGTGTGTGTGTGATTGCATGCACACACGTATGTGGAAGGGTGTGTCTCCACTGCCTGCAGACCCTGAGCCCCCCCAGCAGGGCTTCCTTACCCTCACTCCACCCCCGAGGGGCTGCAGGGCACCCTCCCTGGCTATTTTTTTTTTTAAGACTTACTTATTTTAGGGAAGGAGAGAGAGAACAAGCATGGGGTGGGAGGGATAGAGGGAGAAGGAGAATCTCAAGTAGGCTCCCCGCTGAGTGTGGAACTGGATCTCATGACCCTGCAACATGACCTGAGCTGAAGTCGAGTCAGACGCTCAACCACTGAGCCACCCAGGTGCCCCCTTCTTGGGAGTTTTTTTTTTTTTTTTAAGATTTTATTTATTCGTGAGAGAGGCAGAGACACAGGCAGAGGGAGAAGCAGGCTCCATGCAGGGAGCCCGACGCAGGACTGATCCCAGGTCTCCAGGATCACACTCCGGGCCACAGGCGGCGCTAAACCGCTGTGCCACTGGGGCTGCCCCCCTTCTTGGGAGTTTTAATTAACAACCTGGAATTTGGTTCAGTGATGCCTTTTTTTTTTTTAAGTTATGTAAGAAAGAGTGAACCCTTGTCTTGTTTTCCAGATCCCCAACTTTCAGATCCTGTTTGTGTCCACATTCGCAATCACCACTACATGTTTAATCTGGTTTGGATGCAAACTGGTCGTGAACCCCTCGGCAATAGACGTGAGTCCCTGAGTAGGGCTGTGGGTCCCACCCGTTTTCCTGTTTTTTTTTTTTTTTTTTTTTCCTGGACATGTCTTCCTGCTGATATGGGTGCCAGAGCCCTGGTCCCACAGGTCTGGTCCAGAGAGGTGCTGTCATTAGGTTGGAAATGTGCAGTAGTCATGCGGTGTGTGTGTGTCAAAGTTCTTGAGTCCAAGAAGTTTTGAGAATTTTATTTATGCTTTTGAGAATGGTCTTTTTTATTTTCAAAGATTTTATTTGAGAGAGAGCGAGCACAAGTAAGAGAGAGGAGAGAGAGGGAGAAGCAGATTCCCTACTGAGCAGGGAGCCCAGTGCGGGACTCAATCCCAGAACCCTGGGATCATGATGATGCTTAACTGGCTGAGCCACCCAGGCACCCCATTGAGAATGGTCTTTATTTGTTGCGTTGATTCCAGTGGATGGGTTTGTTGGTAATATCTCTAATGTCTCTTTTACTAAGTATTTCATCAAATTTCTGATGCTGTTGACTGGAAGGTGCACTGTTACTGTGTGAACCACTAAGAAAAATGGAAAAACCTTCCCATTTAAACTACGATGGCAGGGACGCCCGGGGGGCTCAGCGGTTGAGAATCTGCCTTTGGCTCAGGGTGTGATCTGGGGATCCGAGATCGAGTCCCACATCGGGCTCCCTACATGCGGCACACTTCTTCCTCTGCTTGGGTCTCTGCCTCTCCATATCTCTGTCTCTCTTTCTCTCTTTTTCTGTGTGTCTCATGAATGAATGAATGAATGAACAAGCAAACTACAATGGCAGAAAAGTCTCGTATGAAAGAGGGCTCATCAGAGATACCTCAAAACAACAAACAAAAAGACCCTTCTGTTTTATGGGAAATGTTGAACTACTTTTTTTTCAAGATCAGGAAGAGGATGAGGTGACCCTGAGGAAGTGTCAGCCAGGCCCCTGAGGCAGAGGCATGAGCATTGTCCTGTGGATCTGGAAGGGACACTCATGTTGCCATAATCTGGAGGCAAAGGGATTCCTGCTGACTTGACCTCAGAATTCACATGTAGCAGGGTTGCTGGGTACGACAATTGTGCCGGCAACAGAACATTCTGGAAAAGTAACTTAAATACAGAAATCATTTTATAGTGATAAATGTGGAGTTCCTGGGAATAAGTTGGAAGGTTTGTGAGGCTGATTTGTAGAAAATCAAAGTCTTCCTGAGAATCAGGATGTCTTCATTAAAGCGATGCCACAGGTATGGGACCAGGAAGACGGGTGCCCTCACCCCCGACCAGGCCAGCCTGGAGCAGCGCCACATGGGGAGAACATGGCTCTGGACTTGGAAGAGGGTAGTGCTGTGACCCAGCTGTTGGAGCCCACACCGTAAGGGGGACCCCTTCCAGCTCCTGCTGCAGATCCATAAGAGAAGGTCCAGGGCAGGAGGCTGCTTTAGGCACTCACTGAGGAGTGAGGCACAGTGTCACCTGGCAGCAGGAGGCACTCTCAGCCTTGCTGTAATCAGAGGAGGCAAATGGAAGCCACAAGGAGATGGCATTTCCAGCATCACATGGGCAGAAGCCCCAGGTGCCTGCCTTCCATCTGAAGCGACTCTCACACCCTTTGGAGACAGTCTGGCATCTGAAGCAGCACATACACTAGGACTCCGTACAGCATCCCACACACAGTGCAGACCCCGGGAAGCACTGGTGCACTCGGCCACAAAGTGTGGCTCCAGCAGCCCTGAGTATGGTGCCCAAGACCCCAAAGCAAAACAAATACTCAAATGTCTATTGCCTAGGACTGTGCCCCCAACGACACAGAATGATGAAAGGTTGAGAACTGCACACCAGCCAGCCTTCTCAAGCGTGGCCGTGGCTGCAGTGCTGCCCGTCCTGGAGCTGGAACTCCAGTCTCCACCCCACCTGGGCCACCACACGGGAATCCACAGGTAGCCAGGCCCTCGGGTGGCTCCTGGCATCTGAAGGTCGAGCAACAGCCCACTGGAAGTGCTTTTGTGGCACCAAGGGCACATGGTTCTAAGGCCTGAACCACCAGTGTCTGGGGATGTGTGTGTGTGTGCATACACACACACACACACACACACACGGGAAATAGCCATGAGTAAGACATGACCTTTCAGGGCTGTGACTCCCACACCCGGCTCCTTGCTTGTGTGGGGCCCCAAATGCTCAGCCTCTGCCTGCGGGCAACCACATCTTGATGTCCCCACGTGGTATATGCAGGAGAGCTCCTCTGTTCCCTGTCCTTCCCCCATCTAGCTCCCCATGAGTCTGCCCAGCGTCAGCAATAGGGCCTGTCTCCCCTGCATTCTTCAGGGGTGGATCCAGATGGCTCACGTCCATGGACACATCTCTGCAGGCGTCTCCTACGCCAAGGAGCACGCTCTGCCTGCACTGCCTGCACTAGAGCAGGGCCCGGCTCTCACCCTCCCGGCCTGCTCAGGCCCCTCAGATCCCACAACCTTCCCTGCATTTGGTGTCACCAGTGTTCCCCTGTGTCCCAGTCAGACGGCCCCAGTGGCAGCAACTCATTACGTCCCTTCCCCTTGTCTCATCCCTGATGCTTCTGAGCACGTGGTGCTCCTCTGCCGCCTCCTGAGCTTCCCGCCTTGACAGCTGCCTGCTTTTGCCCTTGGCCTATCTGAAAATCAAGGTTGTCTTTCTCCTCGTGTCCAGGACTTGATTTTACACAGTACATGTGTCCCCCCTGCTGCTCCCCACCTTGTCTGGGGGCCACACCGCACGGCCTTGGGCCAGAGTCACATCCTCCTCCTCCCTCAAGGCTGACCTCTGACTTTATACTTTGGAAGGGATTTACGGAGTTCCTCAGCAACTGTACCTGGGGTTGCATTATGGTTAAATTCATAGAATAATTTTGTCCCAAGTAACATCTTTGTTACATTAATCATCCCATGGAAGAGCCTCCTGGTCTCTCCACTTATTCAGATCATCTTCTGTGTCCTTAGGGCCTCAGTTTTGTGTCTTCTTGGTCAAGTAATCACTACGTCATTTACAGATTTTGTTAGTATTATAAACAGTGCCTTATTTTTTAAATTATATTTTCAGATGGGTTTTTGGAGTGCAGAGAGAAGGTATTGATTTGAAATTTTTCTTTATTTTGAAATATGTTAAGACTCAAAATAACTTGCACAAAGAGTAGGAGAGTTCCTGTGTGCACCTCACCCAGCTTCCCCAAGAGAGAGCGTCCCACATGATCAACCAGGAGATTGACCCTTGCTGCTGAATATTCACTTAGGTGAATTTGCAAACTACCAGTTTTTAAATAAAAAGGGTATTTCATCAGTTGATTTTGTGTTTGGAAACTTTGCTGAACTCTCTTATCCTTCCTAGTTGTTGTGGATTGTATTGGTTTTCCTGTGCAGGTGAGCTCGTCATCTGTGAGTGTCCTGTCAGCCCTCCAGCCTGCTCTTTCTTGCTGCGCAGCTGCAGTGGGTCTGCAGCACGTGGACAACAGTGGGACATTTCTGTCTTATTCCTCACCCATGAATTGCATCCAGAGTCTCTGTTGCATTTTTGATGTGTAACTTTTCCCAAGTTCCCTTGTTCCCTTCAAGTGCAGGTTTACGATGAGGTTTTCATTTTAAAAACATAAATAGGTGTTGAAGCTTAATAGTTTGGTTTTGTATGTGTTCAGATGACGTTTTCCCACTTAGTTTATTAGATTGATAGATATTTCTGGTGTTGAGCCTTTCTTTCCTTTTTTTAAAATTTTTTTAAATTTATTTATGATAGTCACAGAGAGAGAGAGAGGAAGAGACATAGGCAGAGGGAGAAGCAGGCTCCATGCACCAGGAGCCCGATATGGGATTCGATCCCGGGTCTCCAGGATCGCGCCCTGGGCCAAAGGCAGGCGCCAAACCACTGCGCCACCCAGGGATCCCGAGCCTTTCTTTCCTAGAATAAAACTTCCCTGATGGCACCAGTGTTGTTGTGGATATTCTGATGCAGTGACTGGCAGGTATGGTGGTTAGGATTTCTGCATCACCTTGAAATGGGCCTGTTTCCCTCTTTCAGTTTTAGAGTCAAGGTTACGCTGGCCCATAAAGTAAACTAGGCAGCAATGACCTCTTTCGTGTTTAGGAATTGATAAAATGAACTGCTTCTTAAAGGTTGTGTAGAACTTGCCTGTAAAGTCATCGTCACCTGAAGCTGTGGCTGAGGGAGGTTGTTGTTATTAGCATGTGTGTTCTGTGTCGTCTTGTGTCAAGGTCTGACTTTTTTCTTTTTATTTTTTATCAAAAATTTCCCCATATGGTACAGTTTTTCAAAATTATCAGCATGTAGTAGCTTGTAATGCTGCTCACTATTTTATGTGTGCCATCTGTGATTTCTCCTTTTCATTCCAGAATTTTATTTGTGTCTTTACTGTATAGACCTTACTCATCCATCCAAAGAATCAGCTCTTGTTTTGTGAACCTCCTTTGGTTTGTTTCTGGTTGCCATTCTCTCTTTACTGGTCAGTTTGTCCTTCCCTCACTTCCTATGTCTCTGGGTCTCTGGGCTGCCTCTTCTGTTGGCGGGTCAGTTGGGATGCTACCTCTGTTGAGAGCTGGCAGCCTGGCTCACTCGGGGTGTGTCCCGTCCCGTCTTAGCTGCATTCCAGATTCTCATGTAACGTTTTCATCTTTGTTTGGTTCTCAGTGTTGGCGAGGTTCCCCTTTCGCCTCTCCAGACCCACTTCCCACGCCCTGCCTCCCCCTCCCTGCCTGTGCAGAGCAGACTGCATGGGTGGGCCGGAAGGCTCAGAGAGATACAGATGGGGCACTAAGGAGTAGTTGGTGTGCCCCGTCTCCTGCCTCTGAGGCCTTGGGGGTGGCAGGATGGGGCTGTGTCCTCTCTCACAGTCACTCCTGCCTCCCCTGGTCCTCAGTGGTTACTCCTGCCCACCTGCTAGGTTTCCCTTCTTCCCGGCTCAGACCTGTGAGCTCTCCTCTGGTTAAACTTCCTCCAGTCCCTCCTCGTGGCTGTCCCTGGGTTTTTGCTAGGACCCTCCTGAAACAGATATGAGATTATTTTTTGAAGTCTTCCATTTGTCGTGTTCTGATATCATTACTGTCAGAATGCACAACTTGTAGTGTAGATTTGTTGGAATTTACCAAGGCTTATTTTGTGGCTCAATAGATGGTCAGTTTTTGTTAGTGTTTCACCAAATACTATATTAAAAAAAAAGTTCTCTGTTTTATTTTGCATGTAGGGTTCTGTAGATCAAACGTCAGGTTCATTTGATTTTAAATGTAGGTTTTATTACCACTAAGGTCTGGCAAGGCCTGAGATCAGGAGACAGTACCATTGGGAGAGCTTGTCACTCACAGCTCCCAAGAGAAGGGGGCAGGCCGTGCCCAGGCCGGGGGCACTGGGGGTCGCCCCAGGAGGCAGCGCAGGAGGGGGCCGGGGCAGGAGCCTGTCCCGTGGTTTCTGGAGGAGGAACAGACAAGGCAGGTGGACGGGCTCAGGGCTGGCTCATGGGAATACCGTCTACGGGCTCCGGGGCTCCCTAGTCGCCGGGCACCTGCCCTGGGTGGTGGGAGCAGGTGAGGGAGGCCCCGAGGGCGGGAGCCCCATGGAGGGTGCTGGGCGGGGGCTCTGGGTTGGCTGCTGTGCATAACCTATAGTTAAATTGACTTTTTTAAGTTTTTTTTTTTTAATTTATTTATTCATGAAAGACACACAGAGAGAGGCAAAGACACAGGCAGAGGGAGAAGCAGGCTCCTTGCAGGGAGTCCGATGTGGGACTTGATCCTGGGACTCCGGGATCATACCCTGTGCCAAAGGCAGACACTCAACTGCTGAGCCACCCAGGGATCCCTTAAATTGACTTTTTAAAGGATTTTGTTCTATGATGATTAACACAGGCACAGATTCCTATAATTGCCAACACGATCAAGATATGGAACAGTTCTATTACCCGGGTCTCTTCAGTTGTTGGCAATTATGCATAGAGCTGTGTAAAGCATGCAGGTTTTGATGTGAACATAAGCTTTTGTATCTTTAAACACCCAGGAGGGGTGAACCACTAAGGAGGGTTTAGCTCAGGGGTCAGCAGACTGCAGCTCAATGGCCAAATCCAGCCTTTGAGCTAAGGATGGTTTTAAAAGAGAGGAAAGAAAAGACCTACGTGAGTCAGAGGTGATATGTGGCCCTGTGCCTAGCATCAGGCCTTGGACAGGGGAAGCTGCCCAGAGCTTTGAACGGGCTTCTAAACCTGTCCATAGGATCATCTACATTTACAGAATAAAGGTGAAGAGAGCCAGTTTCATAGACATAGGTCTTCTCTTTGGCAGATAAATTTTAATCTGATTCTGCTCCTTCTGTTGGAGCTTTTCATGGCGGCCACAGTGATCATCTCAGCACGATCAAGTGAGGCGCACTGTAAGCAGAAGGTAGGTCCAGCCCTGTGCTGCATGGGGCACACAGCAGGCGCCCCAGAGCACTCACTCCCCTGAGGGTGGTGGGCTGCCCCAGGGCACCCTATTTGGCCCCATTCTCCAGGGATTCATGAGGCTCGTGGCCTCGGAGGCAAAGTGGAAGGTGCAACACGACCTCCCCATAGACTGATTCTGGCCCAGCACCACTGCCCCACGCTTCCCAGGGAGAGACCGAGTCTGCTGAAAGGGTCACCTCGTACATACACTGGGATCGCAGGGATTAGTCCTATTTTCCTGACCAGGGAGAGCATTGGGCCCGGAGCATGGTTGAGCGGTGGCCGAGACACAGCTAGCTGGTGCTGAGAGCCTGGGCTGCGGCTTTCCTGGGCACACCCCTGCCCCTAGCCCCTGCAGCGGCTCTCCTGAGGTGCATCCCCCTACCACAGCACATGCAGAGTCACCAGGCCAAATGTGTTGTTTCTTTTCAGGGTCCCATGTTGGAGAGCGCCAACATTTTGTACGAAGCGGCATTTCCTGCCCGGGTCCTAAAATCCTATTCAGTAAGATAAATGTGCCTTTCTCCTTGTTACTTGATTTACTAGGGGAGGTCCGTGGTGATATCCTGTCCCCAGGGTTCAGGAGTTCCTAGTTCACCGCCTCACTCTCAGGAGGGTCCTGGTTGGCAGGGTGGTGATGGGGCCGCCCTCCATCCTTACCTGCGTGCTTTCCCCCTCGTTCTAATAAACCTCCCGCTCTGAGCATGGCACTCAGGATCTCTGCTGGTTGGTTCTGTACTTTCTGCCATGGTTTCTGGAGCTTGTGTCCCTAGGTCCATATGGGCTTCCTCCTCTCATCCCTCAGCAACTTTGCTGATGGCTGCCCCTGTGATGCCTGTGTCGCCGGGTCCCAGTGCCAGGCTCCCTTGTGGTCAGCCTCAGACGCTCAGCTCTGCTTGTCCTTGGGTTGGGGATGCTTCTTTCAGCACCCTGGGACTGTTGTCCTCTCTGTGGCCTGGTGGACAGAGTCCCTCACGTGCGGGCCCGCATCACCGCGCTGCATGTTTCTACCCAGTTTTAACCACTTTGTCTCTTCCAGCTTCTTTGCCTTCTCTCCTGTCTTTCCTGTTTTTAATTAGGGGGGAGCATCTTCCTTCCTGTTCCTTGCCTTTCTCCTTTTCTCACTAATTTTGAGCTGGAAACTATGCATTTTTTCCATGTTCTTTTAGAGGTGGTTCCCAACATTTCAACATAGGTCGTGTGGCTCTTTGGCCCTGAGCTCTTAGAACAGTCCCTTCATGCCCCCTGCCCCCCTGCCACCTGTCAGACACTCCCTGGGTGATGCTACCTGTGTGTCTGCCCCCCAGGTCATCGAGGTGATTGCTGGTGTCTCTGCTGTCCTGGGTGGGGTTATCGCTCTGAACGTGGATGACGCTGTCTCGGGGCCACACCTCTCAGTGACGTTCTTTTGGATCTTAGTGGCCGTGAGTACACCTTGGTGGCCCTTGTCTGTTTGGCTGTGCAGGCCAGCAGGCTGCTGGCCGAGCCCTGGTCCCCTCTCACCAGGACAGTCACTGTGGGCCTTGGAGCTCAGCTTTGGAGGTTTTCGGGTGGGAGAGCAGCTGGAAGAGAGGGTGGAAGGTGGGTGCCAGTGGACCAAGCAGGACACTTCGCCTTGGCCGCCCTGCCTGGGTCCTCCCTGGGCCCACAGTCAGAGGGATTTGAGAATCAAGGCTCAAATGGGTCAGCAAGTTAACTGTTTTTATACGAACCAATAGCATGGTTTCTTGTCTTGGTGGTTTTCCTGGCGAACACTTACTGGTTTTATTTTGTGCAAGGGTACGAGGTGTGATATGTTTATCTTGCTTTGTAATGTGATTTGTTTTGTAAAATGCAACATATTTATGTTATCTTATGTTAAGTATTACTGTGGTAAAATACCTAACACAACACTGGTACTCGGTAAGTGCTTGATATACATGGTCACTACGTCCTGTATGGTTCTTTTGTTGTTTTATGAGCAATTCTAACATTGGTCATGTAAGTTAATGTTGTTTAGTGTTGAACTGAAATGCCACCTATGGGGCTTCTAGCCCAGTGCCTCCCATTCTCAGTCTTATGCAGCCATGGCCAGTGTGGGCCCCTCACAGCCACATGGGACAATTAAGATCAACCCCAGCACATCCAAAGTCCCATAGTCCTGGACACCGCAGACACCTGTGCCCAGTGCTTCTGGGCGCTGTCACCCCATGGTGGCTGCTTTGCAGCATCACTGTGGCACATGGTGACGCCTGCAGGAGGGGCTGGTTTGTCCCACCTTCTGTCCAGGGTCATCCTGTATGAATGAATAGGACGCAGTGAGCATCCCTGGCCTCGTCCAGGAGCTCTTCCTGAAGCTGCCTTGGAAGCCTGGCCTCTGCCCTGACCACTGGCACACTCAGCTGAGGTGCTGTGCTCCTGCTGCATCCCAGGGCTCAGAGCAATGGCGCAGATGCCTGTGCCCAACCTTACTGATCCCTGGGAATAATGGTGGAGATGCTCCCCAAGGACTTGTGGGGAGAGGGAGGATGTGGGATGGACAGCTGCCGGCTGCCAGTGCACAGGTCGGGCTTGCAGAACAGAGAACTGGCCTCGTGCCTGCCCCAGCACACAAGTGCAGCTGTGAAAATGGAGGAGGCACGTCTGCATATTTAACCTCTCAGGTGACGCGGAAGCACCTGGAATTATGTCCTTGAGTTATTGCAACAGAGACCAAATACCTGAGGCTGATGGTGAAGAGACTCGCCTGAGCAGCCCTGTTAACATGCTCAGCGACCCCCCCAAGCAGTCACCCCCAGACCAGCCTCCCTGGGCCTTCTCTCTGCAGATGCTCCCAGTCCCCAGCTGTGGAAGAACTGGCCAGGGGTGAGGGGAGTTTCCCTGGTGGGGAGGGCTGAGTCTGGGGACAGTGGGAGAGGCCACGGTCATGGAACAGGTGGAGAGGGTCAGGGCTCGGGGCCTGGCTGTCCCTGCAGCCTCCCTGGGCTGGGTACGTGTGTGTATGAACAGGAGTCTCTTGGCCTGAGTCACTTCCCCACCGGCTGCTCCATGTCCACATGCTCTCCTCATGGACACCTTCGCCCCCCACACTCCTTAGAGGGAGGAGACTCCCTGGCCCCAGGCCCACAGCAGCATCTTCAGAGTGCCAGTGTCCCCACCTTCCTTGGCCTGCTCCCCTGTCATCCTCCCTTGGCTGTCCAGGCTCTCAGCCCTGAGCCTGCTCACCCTCAACCCAGAACCCTGAACCAGTGCAGATACGTCCCCGGTATCCGGGGGTCTCAGCTGTTCCCACCCAGGGTGTGGTCATTTCCTTTTCCTCTGTGGGTGTGTGGCTGGGCCATGAGCTCCCTGGGCTCCTTGCGGAGGATGGGCTTTCCTGCTTTGCTTTTCTTTTTTTTTTTTTAATTTTTATTTATTTATGATAGTCACAGAGAGAGAGAGAGAGAGAGAGGCAGAGACACAGGCAGAGGGAGAAGCAGGCCCCATGCACCGGGAGCCCGACGTGGGATTCGATCTCGGGTCTCCAGGATCGCGCCCTGGGCCAAAGGCAGGCGCCAAACCGCTGCGCCACCCAGGGATCCCCTGCTTTGCTTTTCTCTGCCAGGGATGGTGTGAAACTAGATCCATCTCCTTCACATAAGTGGAAAAGGACATCTACCTGTTATGAAAGGGCAGAGGTGCCCATCCAGTGAGGAGCCTAAAGAGCCCAGCTAACCCCGTGGTCAAACCCCGTGGTCAAAGTCAGTGTGGTGGGTGGTCCTGGGGAGGCCTGTGTCTCCCGAGGCTCCCTAAGTCTGACGCCGAGGAAGAGCACAGTGGCCCCGGCTGAGGCCAGTTTGTGGCCAGCTGGTGCATCTGATGACGGGGGACGAGGCTCTCTGGTCAGGGAGACTCCTAAGTGCAAGCAGGGTCACCCAACTGTGTCCTGTGCCTAGAATGAAGAACATGTGTGATGTTTGGTGGGGCGCTCGCTGAGAGTGGTGCGGGAGCGTGCCCTCTGTCTCTGCGGTGCATGCACACCTGTTCGGGACAGCGTCCTGTGTCTCCGAGAGCCGACGAGTCCGGAGGTCACAGCAGCGATTCCAGGGCACACAGGCACTCTGGCTGTGGCTCCTTGAGCTTCTCTGCAGCCTTGGAGAGGCCATCCCGTGTTGCCCCACTGGCTCCAAGGATGCACAGGGGAAAGCAGGAGAGGGCGTGACTGCAACCTCAACCATCACCCCTCAAGTCGACGTGTTTTCTTTCCTTTCAGTGTTTTCCAAGTGCCATTGCCAGTCACGTCACAGCCGAGTGTCCCAGCAAGTGTCTGGTGAGTGAAGCCCTTCCCAGGAGCCTGAGGCCTGCTCTGCGGTGCCAGGGCCCAGCTTGTCCCACCTGGGCTGCCGCGTGGTGGGGCAGTTCTGGGAACCAGGCTGCGGGCTAGAGCAGGGGGTGGCCTGGGGAGGCCCCAGTGTGGCTCTGAGGGCAGGACTGTCTGTGGAAACAGAAAGTCAGGAGAAAGTCTGTGACTCAGCGAAGAGCCTCAGCCTGCATCCTGTCGGGTTGTCTGTTGTTGACAGGGATAGTTGCTAAATTTGGGCCAGAAAAGCCTGCATTTGTACTTGGCAGCACCTGTGTGCAGCACCGGCCCAGACCACCCAGGCATCGTTCTCTGATGGGGCAGAGGTTAAAGGAACTGGTTTCAGGGCAGCGCGAGGAGGCCACCTGTGCATGTGTGTTACTCATACAAGAGTGGACACTTGTATCTGAGTTGGGGGGACTCGTGACACGAGCCGTGCTCGGAGCTTCTGGTAGCCCAAGCGCAGAGAGCCTAGCGGGAACCGCGTGCCGAACCCAGAGGCTGCCTGCCTGTGCAGGCAGCGGCTCCCGGGCCCCACGGGCTGGCTGGAACCGAGTTCTCGTCTGCTTCCCTCAGGTGGAGGTGCTGATCGCCATCTGCAGTCTCACATCCCCGCTGCTGTTCACGGCCTCTGGGTACCTGTCATTCAGCATCATGAGAATCATGGAGATCTTCAAAGATTACCCACCGGCCATCAAGGTACGTGTTCTTTTCTCTCAGAACTCTGTACAGATGTGGCCTTGCTGCCCTGTGGGCCACATGGGAGCAGGCTCTGCCAGGACGGGTGGTCCAGCCCAGCGTCTGACCCGCGTGGGGCCCAAGCTGCATCTCCTTCACTTCTGTGTGGACAGCCAGGTAGTGTCTGTCCTCCTCTCTGGTGGGCGTGTGGCCCCAGCTCTGCACAGGCTGCCTCTTTTCCTAACTTTGGGCATGGTGCCTGGTCTCGAGTGGCCCCCTGCCTGCCTGAACACCCTCTCAGCCCCTCTTGCTTCCATCCTCACCGTAGAATCCGTTATTCATCCAGTCATGTCACAACCTTACTGGAATTTTTGTTGGAATCACATCAGGTTTATAGATAAATCTGAGGGGAGTTGAGGGGTTTTCCACAGATGAACATGCCCATAACCAGGACTCTAGAGTCTCTCGATAACCCCCCCATGACTGTTTCCGCGGGCTCAGACACACATCACCAGGCTGTCGCTTAGATACCTTGTGGTGTTAACCGGCAGGTATTGTATTTACTCCCAAATGTTTATCATGAGAAATTTCAGATATGCAGAAGAATGGAAAGGATTCCCCAGCAGCTTATACGTTGTTTATACACGTGTTTACACTGACGGCTGGGAGCACGGACGCATGTGCGTCATTTCTCGGAAGCATCTGAAAGGGAGCAGCAGGAGTCTGACGACAGGACCCTCCACCTTAAAAACCTCGGCATTTCCAAAAGGACTGCCTTCTCCACAGACAGCCCACGTGGTACCTGACAGGCCTGAAATCATCACGCGGTGTCACCCTCAGGCCATGTGCACGGATCGTCCCCCAAACTGCGCCCCATGGGCTGGAGCTTTTGGAGCAGGGCCCAGCCGAGGGCCACAACTTGCCCTTGAGTCTCTCAATTCAGGACAGTCCCCACCTCTTCCCCCAAGACACTGACTTTTTGGAGTCCAGGCCACATGTCTAGGAGAAGGTCCCACTTGTGCATCTCTTTCCTGTGATGCCTGTAGGGGTGAGGTCAGGAGGAAGTGCTGTCCCCTCCCACCTGGTTTGGCAGCAGCTGCCAGAGTGCTCCCAGGTGAGTGGCTCTCGCAGGAAGGAAGTGACCACAACTGTGGTATGAGCCGGGCACCGGTGGATGCCGCGTCCTGGCACCTTGCACGGGGTTAGCCCTGGTGCCTGACCCTTGTCTGAGCTGTTGTTTTACACGGAGGAGTAGAGAAAGATGACCTGCCTGGCTCTCTTGTCCCACATCCCCGACGAGCTGGCACACAGTGTGACGGGTGCTCCTCTTTGGAATGCCGCTGAGGACTCCTGAGCTGGCCCAGCTGTGGCCAGAGGAGGCACCTGCCAGCCCTGTGCTCCCTGAAGTTACCTCGAAGCCTCTGCTTGCAGACCTGCCCCTGCCCCTGAGCTGCCTGGGCCCCTTCAGAGAGAACCGTACACAGAAGTCAAGCTCTGGGGGCTCTGTGTGCTCATTCTTGCTGGGGCATCATTGTTTCTAAGCCTCTTCAGGAGACAGAGCTGAGAACTATAGATTTTACTTATTTTTTCAAAGATTTTATTTATTTATTCATGAGAGAGACAGAGAGGCAGACTCCCTGTGGGGAGCCCAATGTGGGACTCGATCCCAGGACTCCAGGATCACGCCCTGAGCCGAAGGCAGGCGCCAAACCACTGAGCCACCCAGAGAGCCCCGAGAAATATAGATTTTTAAAGGCCTTGTATTTATATTGTATTTCCAATTCAGAATTTATGTACTTGGGCTTTTTTGTTATATTTGCATCACTTTTCTCTTCAAAAACCTTGTTTTCTGAGAACATTGAATATAGTCACTATTTTATCTTATAATACATGTAAGAATGTTCCCAAGTCTACCAGCAGCACACCTGCTGAGTGAAGTCACAGCTTCCTCTTTTTTTTAATTTTTATTTATTTATGATAGTCACACACAGAGAGAGATAGAGAGAGAGAGAGAGAGAGAGAGAGGCAGAGACACAGGCAGAGAGAGAAGCAGGCTCCATGCACCGGGAGCCCGATGTGGGATTTGATCCCGGGTCTCCAGGATCGCGCCCTGGGCCAAAGGCAGGCGCCAAACCGCTGCGCCACCCAGGGATCCCACAGCTTCCTCTTAACCCATGTAGGAGGTGACGTCACTTATTTGAGGAAATAACCCCCTTTCTGCCCGTGGTCATGCTGTTGGTCTAATGTGCGCTCAAATTTAGTATTTTCTGTTTGTATTCCTCAGTACCCAGGATGGGGGCTCTTCTGTATTCTTTAATTATGGGTCGCGTGATGATGTCACGCACTCCCGGCCTGTTCCTGGGGCAGAGGTAGTTACTCTCTTACCTGATGTTACCAAGAGCTCCTCGGTGCACACACGTGGTCTTGAGTCTGTGCGGTGCGTCATTAGGACGGTTAGCTCGGAGAGGGCCTCTGGGTCAGCGGGGACACGTGTGTAGTTTTATTAGATGGTGACGAGTCCCCCTCACAGGAGGTCCCAAGTCCCCTGGGAGCTCCTTCTCCACAGCCCGCACACAGGGTTGTCAGGCGGGCGAGCCAGAGCGCCCGGTGTGGCAGCCGTGTGTGCGTCTCTCTGGACACAAGTGCTGTGGGGCCTTGGGCTGTGCCTGGCGGTGCTGGCGTGTCTTTCCGGGTGAGCTCCTGCCCACTTTCCGGGGGCTTTGAGCTCCACCAGTGTTTGGGGGACCAGCGCCCTGTAACAGCAGAGCCAGGAGGAGGCCTCCGCGTGGTGGCTGGCCTGCCTTTTGCTGGCTGTGATTCTGTTATGAGGAAGTTTGTTTTATGTAGTTTGTCAGTGTCTTTCTTGCTTCTGGATTTTAAGGCGCGATGAGAAAGGCTCTTGTTCGTGTCTGGCGGGAGTTTATCCTGGAGTGCGGGGGAGCCAGCCTTTCCTCTTGAGGGCTTCAGACGCCATCCACTGGGACGCCTATCTTTCCACCCTCATTGGAGAGGTGGCCCTGATCACACGCTGAGCGTCTGTCTGTGTGGGGGCCCGTTTCTGCGCCTGACGTTCTCACACGTGTGTTGTCCGGTGCTGCCCTGTTCCTATTGTGAAAGTTTTATTACCGGCTTCACCAGCTGGTGGGCTAGTCTCCTCATTGCTGATCACTCTGGGTTACCTCACTTTTGTGTATTTGTTTTTTTGTGTTGGACATTTTTGAATCAACTTTGCCTGGCTCCAGAAACCACTCTTTCTTTTTTTTTAAACTGGGCTTGGGTTTAAATTTATCTTTGAACTTAAGGACAGGGCTTGTGTCTCCTTGCTGCCTTCCTACAATGACACTGTACAGGGCTGGGGGTTTTATGTTAACATTCGGGGTGTGGGAGACTTGGCTGTGGGCCCCTGGGGCTGCTCACAGGGCTCAGCAGCCTGCGGGCTACCTGTAGATCATCTGTTAAAGCGAGGACAGCAGAACTTCCAGCAGAATCGATTTCCTCGACTCCCATTCATGAGACAGAAATCCCAGTGCAGAAGGGGCAGGTACCTGCGGTCACTCCACACCAGCTCTGGGGAAGCTCCCGGGAGCCCCAGGGCCAGGGCCAGGGCCTGCCTGCATCGCCTCGCTTGGTTGGGGGAGTGGCCTCAAGGGACCCCGGGCAGCGGCCATGCTGCTCAGCACTACACCACCTCATGTCTCGCCAGCAATCCTATGACGTGCTCCTGCTGCTTCTCATGTTGGAGCTGCTGCTGCAGGCTGGCCTCAACACGGGCACCGTCATCCAGTGTGTGAGCTTCAAGCTGGGAGCATCCTGGGATGCCGCACAGACCAGCCAGCAAGAGCGCCCCCCAGGGGAGGTGAGTGGCCTCGGACTCGCTGGCTGCCCTGTCTTGGTGGGGTGGCCCTACACACAGCTTCGTTCCCGGGAAGCTACCACAGCCGAATGCCTTCAGCTTTACTCACGGACGTGGAGAGGAAGTTGGTCAGCCTCCACACTGGTCACAGAAGTTCCCTCCCTAGCCCCTCGTGGGGGCACCGACTCAGCTCCTTACAGGTGTGGCATCAGTGACCTCTGGCCCACAGGCTCTGGAGGTGACGTCATGCCAGCCCCCGTGCCGGGCTCATGGCCACCCGGACAGTACTCTGCCCAGGTCCTGCCCTGTGCTCCCCATGAGCTGCCCGCCCACAGGTATTTACGCTGTGGACTGAGGAGGCTGCTGGAGGGTCCTCCAGGGCTGCCCTGCGTGGACCAGGCCCTCCTCCCACCCGGTGCTAGCAGCCCCAGGACCTTTGTGCGGGTGCACCTGTGCTCCTGCTCTCGGCCCCTGCTCAGCAACCCTAGTCCTCTCCAACTGTCCTGGGCTTTCCTTCACGGAGATCCAAGGATGGTGCCCTTTCCTTGTTTTTAACCAGTGAGGGCTGGTCTCCGTGGGGACGGCTCTACCCCCAGGCCTGGGCGGGGACCCCAGGGAGCTGAGTGGTGAAGGAGAGCTCCCACCAGGTGCCAGAGGCCTGGGCAACTCTAATTTTAGCAACTGTCTGGTGACCTGTGCCTCAAGCACTCTCCTTCCCTGGGTGTCAGGCCCCTCGTCTGTGGGGGTGCCGGGCCCCTACCCCCGGGAGGAGCTTGGAGGGCCTGGCCCCGCCCCGTTTATTCCTGCACCATGGAGTATATCCTTGCCCTGTCTCTGAGTATTTACTGGACACCTACTATATGCAGGTGCTCCTGCCACGGCGGCCTCCCACCCCGACCCAGAGCCCACCCTGCCCTGGCCGTGTTCCCACGGGGTATGCGGGCCGAGGTGCTGGTCAGTGGGGGCGTGGAAGACCAGGGACATCTGCTTCCCCTCCTGGGAGTCCAGCACTGTTTCTGGTCCTGTCACAGGCTGAGAAAAGCCCACGAGTTAGCAGAGATGTCCTGCCCACCTGCTGTTGCTCCGGGGCCCAGGAGGAATAACACTCTGCCTGTTTGGCCACAGGTGTCCAGGAGCCCACTGAAGGAGTTCGACAAGGAGAAGGCGTGGAGGGCCGTGGTGGTACAGATGGCCCAGTGAGCACGGGCGGGGAGACCAAGGCAGGAGCAGGGACCCACCTGGCTAGTTGTCATCTGGCTACCACTGACTTGCCTTCCACCTCCGTCCAGGCCAGGCTGCAAGGTGGAGTCTTCATTGCTTAGAGTAGTTTAGTTCTCAGGCTCGTGTTGACTATTTTGTGCTTATCAGTGTGTCAGGTCCTGGCCGCCCAGGCGCCCCCAGGGCGGTGGCACGGGGCCTTCAGGTGAGGAGGGCAAGCAGGAGCCAGGCCTTCCAGGGCCGAGGGGCATCTGTTTGCTCACAGGTGTGGCCAGCCGCCTGGCTGCTCCCCTGCACCTGGCCGGCCTCCCTGGCCCGTTGTGGAGGAGGCAGCTCGCCGGCCGTGCACAGCCCCACAGGGGTCTCACCAGCTCCCGTGTTTGTCGTCTGAGCCCAGCCGGCCATGCACGGTTTCTGACAAGAGAGCAGAGCTGCACATTCCCGTCATGTCTCATGAGCCAGGGGCGCCCCCACGCTCACAGCTGTCCCTCTGTGAAGCCCATGTGCCCAAGTTTCCACCTCGTTGCAGAGGGACCTGCCCTCTCCATGGCCCTGGTGTCTGTGGCGCCCCTGGTACACAGAGACCCGGGTCAGCATTGGCTGCACTGGCACCAGGGGGTTCCCAGCTCCTGAGCCCTTTGCCAGCACCCATGCTGGGAGTGACCCTCGCCACTGTGACAGCTCAGTGTTCTTTGGGGTGGGGCCCCATCCAAGGCTTTGAAAACTTGGGCCACATTTCGTGGTCTCGTCGGCCTTGGTGATGTGGGTGGGGTTGGTCCCGTTCCTCCTGTTGTGGGTTCTGCTTTGACTCCGGTTACCATGCCTGAAATCGCAGACAGATGCCCCCGGGACCCTCGGGGCATCAGCGTCTCCGTGCACTCCCTGACCTGACCCAGCTGAGCCCGGGCCAGGGGTCTCCCCCATCTGTCACTGCCACCCTCCCCCTCGGGCACACAGCAGAGGCAGTCTGTGAGAATAACATCCCCTTCACTGAAAAGCACCGCCCAAAATTAGATTGTGTGCCTCTCCTTGTCCCCTGAGTACACCTGGAACTTCTGGGAGGACAGTTACCTTTCCCAGTGGACCTGGTCACTGATGACTCCTCCGCACCCTTCCTTCCAAAGTGGAAAGTTCACTGTCCCATGTGTCCTTCACAAGCCTACACATGCCTGCGCTGGTCTCTTTCCTTCCCCTGGAAAGAGTGAAACAGCCCTGTGCTCGGCTGGGAGGTGCTAATGCTTGCTCTTTACTGAGCTCGTGGGTGAGGACATGGGGCTGCTGGGTGTAGACTCCATGATGTGCCCTGCTTCCTTATTTCCCAGCACAAGTGACTGGCTGCCTGTCTTCACCACCAGCTGGGTCATTTTCAAACAGGAGGAATGCAGGTGAGACATGGAGAGGTACTTGGAAGCACTGATGGCTTCTCCTGCACACGTGTGCACGGCCTCCCCCAGCACCCCCCCCTCCCCCCCGCCCGAAGCAGCACAGGACATGCTGATGTGTTCCTGGGTGTCCAGAAAGTCTGAGTCTTAGAGCCAGAATTAGACGTCTGGGGGCTCAATACAGGCTTGTAGTTTATTTCAGAGAGAGCTTGAGAAATCCAGGCAAATGGGGGTTTAAAAATTTATAACTCCATTTACATTTTTGTCTGATACAGTTTAGCATCTCCTGAACAATAAATGCTAACATGTAAATGCAGCCTATTTTATTTCGGGGCTCTTGGGTTCTGAAAACAATGAGAGGGAGAGCGTAGGAGGGCAGGTGGAGGGGAGGGCTGGGAGTGCCTCCCCAGCCTGGGTGGGGGGCCCCGGGGACTGCCCGCTGCAGAGAGGTCTGCTAATGCGAGTGGGGGCAGCTCCACACTTTGGGGTTGACTCGGGAGTTAGGTGCAAGATAAAGGTAACATGTAAGTTTCTGAAATCTACCAGTGGGAGAAGGTCTTTTCTAGTCCCCCCTCCTTCCAGGAGGTGGGGAGGAAGAGTTGGACGCTGGGGACTTCCGGGTGGTGGGGTCACAGGGTGGAGCTGGAACTCGCAGGCGGCAGCATTGGCCCCATGAATGACCTGGGGACACCAAGGCCCCCCGGGGGTCTCTCCCCGGACCCGAAGTCCTCCGATGGCCCTGGTTGCCCAGTGTGCAGTCCCCCGCCCCGTGCTGGGGACCCGGGAGTGACGGTCGGAGGGAGGCCTGGGGCGGGGCCGGGGCTGGTTGTGACTCTCGGGTCTTTATGACTTGGGGCCTCTGACTGCCGGGGGGGGGGGGGGGGGGGGCCTGTGTGACCCCAACAGCCCTGCGCCTGGTGGGCCCGCATGACCCCGGGCGGGATGTGGCGCGGCCTCCCCTTCCCGCAGACACCATGGCCCGGCCCCCCCCACGCGCCCGGCCCCAGGCCTCGGACCTCAGCCCCGGGCCCAGCGCCCTCCCCCCCGGCCCGCGGGGCCGCCCCCGCCGCAGCCGCTCCGGCCGCCGCCCGCCCGCGCGCCCGCGCAGCCCTACGCCCCGCGCCCGCCGCCGCGCCGCGCCCCCCCGGCCCCGCGCGTCCCCCACCCCGCGCGCCCGGCTTGCACAATGCGCCGCGCAGCCCCGGCCCGTTGCCCCGGGCAACCGCGGGACGCCGGGCAGCGCGGCGGGGGGCGGGGGCGCCGCGCGCGCCACGGGGCCGGTCCCGGGTGAGCACTTGGCCCCTCCGCTCGGGACCCGGACCCGCGCCGCTGCGGGTGCCGCACGGGACCCCCGCGCCCCGGCCCGCGCGAGTCCTCGCGGCCCCGGCGCGCCCTCCCCGGCCCGGGACTCTGGACCCCCCGCCCCGCCCCGGGCCTCTAGGCGCCCCCCGCGGAACCCCGGACACTCTTCCTTGGAACGCGGGCCGCGCCCGCCCCGCCCGCCCCCCACCTCCGGCGCTGCCCTCGGGAGCCCCGACGGCCCCTGCAGCCCTGCGCCGCCGCAGCCCTGCGCGCCCCTCACCCTGGCTGCCCCGCCGCGGCCAGGAGCCCTCGCCCATGCCCCTCTCCCTGCAGGGCCGCGAGCCGGCGCGAGCGAGGGCGAGCCGGAGGCCGCGATGGAGCCGCTCTCGTCCGTCGCACGGGAAGGAGACCCGAGAGAGGAAAGCAGTCAGTGTCCCCGCCCGTCTTCCATCCTCCGGCGCCCGCGGGCGGAGGCGGCGGGGTGGGGTTAGTGGCTCCGCGGCCCTGCCCGGAGCTTGTGCTCGGGGCCCTTACCCCCGCCCCCCCGGCCCTGCCCCGGAGCCCCCTCACCTCCGGCCCCCTGCCCTGCACCTGTGTCCTCCAGGCTGGGCAGCTTGGGAAAGTGGTGCAGGGTCCTCTGCTCGGGGTACGGCGCTGCCCCAGAAGTGACGGCGAGCCCCGCCCTTGGCCCGAGGGCCCCCGGGGCTTGCCTTTGCGCGGCGCGAGGCTGCGGGTGGTGAACACCTGGGCGGGGCCTCGCTGGGCCCAGGGTAGGCTCCGTTACTCTCCGCGGACCCCAGGGCTGCTCCGGGTCCAGGCTAACGCGGGCACCGCCCTGTTCGTCTAGGGCGATGGGTGAGTGTGCAGGGCGCCTCCCCGAGCTGCCCATGTTCCCGCCTTTCCTGTGCTGCTCCCCTTGGGGCTCTGCCGGGAGCGCCTGTCCCCGACTTCCGGCCATTATTAAGTCGGGTTGCGGGTTTTCTCCTATGCAGTTGCAGGGTTGCTTTGTCTCTTCTGGACGGACTCTACTTCTTTGTCAGATAGATGTTATTAATACCTTCTGGTCGGTGGCTGCTGTTTTCAGCCACTTAAGGATTCCTTTAGAAAAATCAACCTCTTAGTGGTAAACAAGTTTAACTGTCAATCTTTTCTTCTATAGTTAGTGCTTTTAGAGTCTTATTAGGACACCGGTACCCACCCCATTGTCCAGGAAACAGTATCCTGTGCTTTCCTTTAGAAACTTCATAATGGGGATCCCTGGGTGGCGCAGCGGTTTGGCGCCTGCCTTTGGCCCAGGGCGCCATCCTGGAGACCTGGGATCGAATCCCACGTCAGGCTCCCGGTGCATGGAGCCTGCTTCTCTCTCTGCCTCTCTCTCTGCCTCTCTCTCTGCCTCTCTCTCTCTCTCTGTATGACTATCGTAAATAAAACAAAAAAAAGAAACTTCATAATGTTACATTTCACAGTTACCTCTGCAGTTTGACAGGGATTGACTATTTTGTATGGAGTGAGGTGCTGGGGGCTGGGCACATGCTCACTCTAACCCTGCGGGGATTCTAGTTGACCCAGCTTGAGCCCAAGAGCACCCTTGTGGAAAATCAGACCTAGGCCTATTTTTTGTTCTTCATTATGTTGATTTCTCTGCCTGTCCGGAGTCCATACTTTTCCAGCTAATTCCAGTAGCTTTATACTAAGTCTTTTAAAAAATATTTAATTTATTTATTCATGAGAGAGAGAGGCAGAGACACAAGCAGGCTCCATGCAGGGAGCCAGACGTGGGACTCCATCCTGGGTCTCCAGGATCACACCCTGGGCTGCAGGTGGCCCTAAACCACTGAGCCCCCCCAGGCTGCCCAATACTAAGTCTTAACAGCTTATAGTGTAAGTCTTCTGACTCTGTCCTTCAAGATTTGTTCAGGTGTTCTTAGACTTTAGCATTACCATATAAATTGTAGAGTCAAATTATTAATTTAACCCCTCCTAACCCACCCCCCCAATCCTGCTGGGATTTTAATTTTGGTTACACTAAATCTATAGATTGATTTGGGTGAAACTCAGCATTTTGTTGATACTGAGTCTTTCAACCCAGGAACCTTTAGTTCTTTGATTCTTGTCAACAGTATGCAGTTTTCAGGGTATAGGTATGGAAGATCTCTTTTGTTAGATTTACTCCTAGATTATTTGATGTTTTTTAGAGATGAAATTATTGAGTTTCACTCTCTAATTATTCCCAACGCATAGAAATACAGTTAATTTTATTGTACTGACTTGGCATTTGGTGACTTTGCTAACTAATTCTAATAGCTAGTAGATTCATTTAGATATCTTTTACATACACAATCATCTGCAACTCTTTTAGGTCTTTATACTTTTTATTCCTTTTCTTGCATTATTGCATTGGCTAGTACTTTCAGTATAATGTTAAATAGAATTGATATAGTGGATATCCTTTTTTGTTCCAAAACTGAGAGGAAAAGTACCCAGTATTTCAGCATGAAGTATTTTCAGCTATGGGCTTTAAAGGAAGTTCCCTTTTGTTCCTGGTTTACTGAGAATTTTTTAATGAATAGTTATTACATGTGATAAAATGAATAGTTATTACATTTTATCACATGCTTTCTTCTGCATTATCGAGGTGATAATATATACTTTTTTTTCTTTTAGTCTATTGTGGTGGATTATGTTGATGGATTTTCAAATATTAAACCAACTTTGTATTCCTGGAATAAACTTCACATGGTCATGTTATATTGTTTTATATTTTTATATATTGTTTTATAAATGTTTAGGATTTGTATGCCTATTTCTATGAATGAGATTGGCTGTACCATTCTTTTCTTATAAGGTCCTTATTAGGTTTTGGTATTAAATTTATGAACACCTAAAAAGAATTAAAAGGGTTTTCTATTTCCCTATTCAATGAAAGGGGCTTATAGAAGGTATTTTTCACCATTAAATGTTTGGAAAGATTGATCTGTGATGCCATCGAGAACTGGAGTTTTTAGGAAACTTTTTAATTATGAAGTTAATTTCCTTACAAAAATAAGCCAAAACTTTCTATTTTATGTCAGTTTTGATAAAGCTGTATTTTTCAAGGGAAATGTTAATTTCCTATGAGCTGTCAAATTGTTGGCATGTGGATATTCATAATCTATTTATCATTTTAATATCTGTACAATCAGTAATGATGTCCCCTTTTTCATTCTTGATATTGGTGATTTGTGCTTCCTCATTTTTCTTGATCAATTTAAATTTAAATTTTTAATTTAAATTTTTCTTGATCAATTTTAAAAATTTTAAAAATTTCAATGGTCCAACCTTTGGTTTGTTAATTGTCTCTATGGCACATCTTTATTATTTTCTGTCTTTCATTTCTTTTTGTTTAATTTTTCTCTTATAAGACTCTTGGGATGGTAGCTTAGATTTAAAATATATGAAATTAAATTTATAAATTTCCCTCTAAATCACTATTTTAGCTGCATTGTAATGCTTTGCTATGTAATATTTTTATTATCATTCAACTCAAACCTTTTTTGAGTTTCTCCTTTGGTCCATGTTTTATTTTAAAGTGTGCTGTCTAATTTTTGAACATTTAAGAAAATTCCCAGCTACCTTTTGGTTATTAATGTCTAATACCAGTTGTCAGAGAACTTAATCTATATCATTGCAATCCTTTGAAATTTATTGAGATCCCCTCTGGTCTAGGATGTAATTTGTGTTGAAAGACGAGAAAGTGAGGAACATGGTGTCTACATACATCATTTGAGTGCAGCTGGATAATGACAATGTTCAAATCTGCTATATTCTGCCGATTCTTTGTCTACTCTTTTTTTTTTTACTTTAAATTCTTTTAAATTTATTTATTTGAGAAAGAGAGAGAGCACACAAGTGGGGTGGGGGGGAGGGGCAGAGTGAGAGGGAGAAGCTGATTCCCCTTGGAGCAGGGAGCCAGATGCAGGACTTGATCCAGGGACCCTGAGATCATGACCTGAGCTGAAGGCAGATGCTTAACCTACTGAGCCACCCAGGTGCCCCTTTTGTTTAATCTTTCATTTACATAGAGAAGTAGGTTAAATAATCTCAATATGATTGTGGATTTTCTATGTCTTTTTTTTCTTAGCTTTGTCAACTTATTTTTTTTAAGATTTTATTTATTTATTTATTCATAGAGATGCAGAGAGAGAGAGAGAGAGGCAGAGACACAGTCAGAGGGAGAAGCAGGCTCCATGCAGAGAGCCTGACGTGGGACTCGATCCTGGGTCTCCAGGATCACGCCCTGGGCTGCAGGCGGCGCTAAACTGCTGCGCCACCGGGGCTGCCCAGCTTTGTCAACTTATATTTTATATACAATTAAGTTCATACACATTTGGAATTTTTATATCTTCCTGACCAATTGATTCTTTTATTTATTTTATTTTTTTCTTAAGATTTTATTTATTTATTCATGAGAGACACAGAGAGAGAGGCAGAGGGAGAAGCAGGCTCCATGCAGGGAGCCTGATGCGGAACTCGATCCCAGAACTCCAATATCACCCCCTGGGCCAAAGGCAGACGCTAAACGACTGAGCCACCCATGGATCCCCAATTGATTCTTTTAATACTATGGGCTGTCTTTTGTCTTTAATAATGAGTTTTCTGGGATCCCCGGGTGGCGCAGTGGTTTGGTGCCGGTCTTTGGCCCAGGGCACGATCCTGGAGACCCGGGATCGAGTCCCACATCAGGCTCCCGGTGCATGGAGCCTGCTTCTCCCTCTGCCTGTGTCTCTGCCTCTCTCTCTCTCTCTCTGTGACTGTCATAAAAAAAAAAAAATTAATAATGAGTTTTCTGCAAAGATTTTATTTATTCATGAGAGACACACAGAGAGAGAGAGAGAGAGAGGCAGAGACACAGGCAGAGGGAGAAGCAGGCTCCCTGCAGGGAGCCCGACGTGGGACTCGATCCTAGGACCCTAGGGTCATGCCCTGAGCTGAAGGCAGATACTTGACCACTGAACCACCCAGGTGTCCCTTTAACAATGATTTTAAGTAAATATTAGTATGTATCTAAATATTTACTAAGTAGCTCCAAAAATGACATTTTATATATAACTAAACTCATTTTTCACATTTGGTAAGATGGGCAATCATTCCTTAATAAAACCCAATAACCAGAATACGTTCTTATTTCCCAGAGTTGGTTTGTTCAGATTGGGTTCTGGGCGAGGACCACACACGGCATTAGGTTGTCCTGTCTCTTCGCTGTCTTTTATCCTCTTGTGTGAGACCTACACTTACTGATGAGGACAGCCTCTGTTGTGCAGCAGGTCCTACCTGGGGACTTGTCTATCTGTTGCCTGGTGGTTTCTTCTCTGCCTCCGTCCTGTATGAACATTGTGACATGGAGGTGAGCTCTGGAGGCTTGATGAGATTCAGGCTGAGTGTTTTGCGAAGACTCCTTTGAAGGTGGTGCTGCACTCCTAACCTGCCCGTAGAATCTGGGCGGCCCGTCATCAGTGCACCTGAGGAGGGGTGCATGGCACCCGGTGGCTGCCCAAGGCCCCTGAGCAGGGGTGGGGGTTCCCTGGAGAATCCCTCTGAGATGGGACTGGGTGCAGGAGGTTGACAGGCCCACAAGGTGGTGAGGAACACAGGCCTGGCAGGGGTGGGGGGTGTTGTGGCAACCCTGGCCCCTACTCGGGCAGCACCACCATGGCACCCGCTCCTCTCCCCTCACCCTCCCTAGGGGTCCAACCCTTGTTTGAGTGGCCAGTTCTCCACACTGAACAGACAGGGAGCTATGCTCTGTGAGGAGTGCTTCCTGCCCGGGCAAGACTCCTCAGCCTCCCCAGCCTCCCCAGCCTCCCCTGCCTCCCCTGCCTCCCTGGCCTCCCCTGCCTCCCCAGCGTCCCCAGCGTCCCCGGCCTCCCCGCTCTCCCCTGCCTCCCCAGCCTGCCCAGCCTCCCCGGCCTCCCCAGCCTCCCCGGCCTCCCCTGCTTCCCCAGCCTCCTCAGTTCCGCCCCCAATCATAGGTTTCCAGGGAAGTGTTGGCATGCCGGGCGTGTCTGACAGCTTCAGGTGAGGATTGTTTGTGCCTCAGCCTCACTCCGGAGTCTCCTGGACGTCTGAGCCGTGTCTGGCCAGCAACCGTCATATTCCGTGGTGCTCCAGGGCCAGTGCTCAGCCCTCCCGCCTCTGTGTCCGTCGTTTTGCTGCTCCCCTACCCCAGCCTGTAGCTGCCTCCAGATGCCCTGAGATCACCCGGCTCCGGGTCCCGGGCTGGAGTCCCTGCTCTCAGGGACCGCAGGACCCTCCACTGGGCACGGGGGTGTGGTGCTTGGAAACCAGAGGCCGGGTGCCACAGGGGGTTGTTGCCAGGCTGTTAATGGGCATCTCTGTTCATCCAGACTTTTCAGCCTGAGTGGATATTTGGGTTAATTAAGATATTTCTGCATCTGTTAAGATGGGATTTGTGACTTGAGTCCTTTAAATGGTGAATCTAGTTTGCTTTTCTAGTCCAGCCAGGGATAACCCAGCCCTCTGCCTGCATCGCTGCTGTGGGTGGCATCTCCTGTGCAGGATTCTGTCCTCTGTGCAGGGGTCATGCCGGCCCGTGATCTTGCGGTTCCGTCTGTGGCTGGCCTCGGAAAACGAGCGAGGCGTGGCCTTGAGTTTTCTACACCCGGAACGAATTGACCAAGACTGAATGTTGAGTGTTAACCCGTGAAACCGTCAGGCCTGGAGTTTTACTGATGGGAAGGTTTTGTCCCTTTTCTTTACTAGCTGGTCTCACCAATTATTCATTAATTTTAAGCCTTTGGCTTGATTAATTCTCTGCTGGATTTTTTTGAAAAGATTTTATTTATCCATGAGAGACACAGAGACAGGCAGAGACACAGGCAGAGGGAAAAGCAGGTTCCCCGTGGGGAGCCCGATGTGGAACTCGATCCCGGGACCCTGGGGTCACGCCCTGGGCCAAAGGCAGCGCTAAACCACTGAGCCACCCGGGCTGCCCTCTGCTGGATTTTTAAAAATACTTCATCAGTGTCTCCTTTCTTTTATTTAGTTTCTTGTTTCTCTTTGGGTTTAAATTTACTGTTCTTAACATCTTGAGACGGATGCTTAACTCACTGGGCTTTTAGTGTTTTTAGCTTTTACTATTTTTGAATATATGCATCTACAGCTAAAAATCTCTTTATAAATATAACTTAAGCACCACCCAAAGATTTGCTTTTTGGTGTTTTAATGATCCTTTAGTTAAGAAACACGCAGCACTTTCCAGGTCGACTCCCAAGGCGCGTGGGTTGTTCGGCGCGGGTGTGGAAGGCGCAGGTGGCGGTAGCTCCCTCACGCGCTGGCTCCTGCGTCCACCCTGGCCCTTCTCTCTGGTCCCTGTGTCCAGGGCACGTGCGGGGGCCGCGGAGTGAGGGGCTGCACTCGTGGGCACGAGGCGGCGCAGTGAGGTTGGGGCGGGTCCTGGCAGCGGCTGCCGACCTGCGAGCCCTGGAGGGGCTGTTTTGGGGCCGCGCCACTGCACTGGGACCGGCTGCCTCCTGGCAGCCTCCTGGCGGCCGCTCCTCCCGCCCTCCACTGGCCTCTGGCCCCGCCGCTTAATTCTGCCCCAAAGCCCCCCACGGACGGACCGACAGAACCGCTCACCGCGCACCCTTTTCTGTCGGCTTCACTTGAATGAAGTGAATGGTTTTTCCCAGCCTTTGCTTTACCTTTTCTTTTTACCAGTTTTAACTCCTACGGCCGATGCTTTCCTTGCGCCACCCGGGAAGGTTTGCCTGATCCAGGGCTCTGCTTTCGCACGGAGGCGCGGGATCCACTTCAGATGAACTGCAGCGCGTCGAAGGGTGGGGTTAGATTTGTTTCCTGCGTGTGGATGTGCAGTTGTCAGAACCCCGTCCCCACCAAATGGCTCTGGTGCTTTTGTCTGATTGACTATGCGGGCGTGGGTCTCTGGGGTCTGCTGCCGGCCCTGCCCACCTGTCGTGCTTGGGGGTCCTGGAGGTGCCCGGAGCTCGGGTGGTCAGGGGGAAGGTGTGCGTTCCAGGGCCCTGGGTGAGGTGGAATTCGAAGCCACCAGACAAGGTGACATGGCCCAGGGAGTGGTGTGGACTGGAAGCACGGAGTTGAGGTCCAGGCTGGGGCACTTCCAAGGTCAGGGCATGGCGGGGGCACAGTTCACAGGAAGGGGTCCCGGGGGTGCAGAGCCGGCCGGCCGAGTGTCCCGTGCTCGCAGGAGCCAGGGCCCATGGTATCGGCTCGCATGTGACTTGAGCATTAGCCGTGTCCACGGTGCAGCCCAGGAAATAGGGGTTTGGAGGGTGGTTGAGGCAGGAGCGTGGAGGGGTGTGCGCCACCGAGAGGATGGTTTTCACTTTAATTTTTAAGGCGGTTGCGCTACAACCTAGTGTGCGCTGATGGGAGTCTGTTGCCAGTGGGGGAATGGGCGGGAGGGCCCTGTCAGAGGGAAGGCTGGCCACACAGGCTGGGGTGGTCATCGTGGGTGTGGACACCGAGCAGGGGCAGCGACCTGCAGAGGGTGGAGGGTGTGGAGGGCACTGAGGGTAGCAGGAGGGGCCGTGGGGGCAGAGGGTGCGGGGAGGAGGTGATAGTGGGGGAGGAGGTGATGGGCGGGGGCAGGCTTCCTGTCCAAGAACCCGGGGCCTCCTACCTGTGCCTTGATGCCTGTTTCTCTTCCGCAGAATTAAAACGAGGAATTTTGCAAGACGTGACTTCTTCCCCCAAATTAGACAGATACAAAATAGCAAGACAATTAACAGAAAAGGCCATCAAGGTAAATGCCTTTGGGGCTAGGGGGCAATCTTTAAAAGTTTTTATTTATTTCAGTAATCTCGTCACCCTACCGGAACTCACGACCCCAAGATCAAGAGTCATGTGCTATTCAGGCTGAAACGTCCAGGTGGGGGGAAGGGGTGGGGTCACAGGTTTTAAGTGTGGAAACTTGTTTTAGAATTTGGGCAGCGAGGAGTTGCCTGTGATGCGCCGAGCTCCCCAGCCTCCACTGGCCTGGCCCCCAGCGCTGACCCCAGTGGGGCTGCAGGGCAGGTCTGTGGGAGCTAGGGGCCCCGGGATCCGGAGCCCACGGTGCGGGGGATGGGCTGGGGGCTGCAAGTGCCGCCTGGTCCTGGCCGCCCGGGCACCGTGCTCTCTGGGATTTCGTGCCAACGCAGCCCCACCAGCTTGTTCATTCTCGGGTTTTCTATTGAAACCTCGGACCTGGTGAGGCTGCAAACATCCCTGCAGACGTTGTGTTAGCTGATTGCACAAGCTTCTAGCTCATAGTACTTTTGTTGGGATGTAGTTCTAAGTTATATAAAGTCCACATTATTACTTTTCACTGATTGTGGGTCACTTAAAAGTGTAGTTAATGCTTATACTTTTGGGGTTTTTTTTCTATTTTTTTCATGTATACAAGATTTTCTTGTTTTATTTTATTTTGTTACTTTTTTACTTTTTATTTAAATTCAGTTTAATTAATATATAATGTATTATGGTTTCAGAGGTAGAATCAGTGACACATCAGTTCCCCATAACCCACCGTGCTCATCGCACCACGGGCCCTCCTTCATGCCCGTCCCCCAGGGATCCTGTCCGCTCCAGGGACCCTCAATTTATTTCCTGTGATTCAGTCTCTCATGGTTTGCCTCCCTCTCTGATTTCGTCTTGTTTTATTTTTGCCTCCCTTCCCCTGTTTTGTTTCTTAAATTCCACATACGAGTGAGATCACAGGACAATCGTCTTTCTCTGGCTGTCTTGTGTCACTCAGCGTCACACCCTCCAGGTCCATCCACGTCGTCACAAATGGGGAGATTTCTTTGTCTGATGGTTGAGGAATATTCCGTTGTATATGTAGGCCACACCTCGCGGATCTGTGTTCTGTCCGCGGACACCGTGGCTCCTTCCACAGTCTGGCTCTTGTGGACATGGCCACTGTGAACACTGAGGTCCAGTTGCCCCTTGGGATCACTGTGTTTGTATCCTTTAGATAAGTACCATTTTTTTTTCTATTTTGTCACTGATTTCTAGCTTGATTGCATGTGCTTAAGAATGTAATCTGCGTAATGTCGTCCCATTAAAATGTGTTCAGACTTGCATTATGGCCAGCAATCTGGGCATTCGTGTGAAAGTCGACGTGGGTTACTCTATTCCTCGTCATCAGGGCAGAGCTGGTTGTTTGCGTTTGTTCAACTCGTTGAGGCTGCTTGAAATCTCTGGGCCGTGTGCTCGGTCACGTACCGAGAGAAGCGTGTTAAACACCCTGCTACCAGTGTGGACTCCTTCACTTTGTGGTTGCCAAGGTTTGCTCTGTATGATGGACGGCCCTCTTACCAGGTACCTCCAGGAGTATCCTCCCGGAGAATCGAATCTTTTAATAAATTATGGCATGATTTTCTTTATGTCAGTGATTTATTTTGTCCCAAAGGCTATTTTCTTCCTTTTATGTCCTACCTACCTGTAGGCTTGCGCTTTAGGTTTTCTCAGGTAAACAAGATAGATTGAGATTTTTAAAAATCCAGCGTGGCGCTCTGCACCCTTCCCCTGGATCGGTTGGTGTGCTCATCTGTAACGGCTCCCCCGGTGCCTCGGATGCCCCCGGGTGTCCCCGTGTCCTTGCTCCTTCCTCCTGTCCTCTCTGCTCGGCCTCCCCCTCATTTCGTGCCTCCTCGTGGACTGATTACGTCTTCTCCCCTCTCGAATGCGTTAACGACTCTTGCACTCTGTTTGAAGACAACCTTTTGTAGTTCCCTAAGGAGTTTGGCTCTGTGGGTTTCAATAGCCAGCTTTTCTAAAGTTGTTCCCTTTGACTGTAAGCAGGCAGGGGGGTCTTGCAGGTCACTGGTGCTGACACTCCTGCCGGTGGTCCCGTTCCCAGCCTGCCTCTGCGTCGGAGCGGCCAGTCCGTGGCCAAGTTCACCACATCCCTGTGTCCCAGCGCACAGCCCCGTGGGGGACAAGGGCAGACTCTGGATGGATTTTCTGCACAGAAGGAGGCTCACGGAGGCCCCCTGACCTGCTGGGTCTTTTATGTGGGTGCTGGAGCTGGAACTCACAGTTCCTGGCCGCAGGCATAAGCTTTCCTGAGTGTGTTCCTGGGCGTGGGGTGCAGGTCCTCCTGGACCGATGCTGTGTAACATCACCATGAGCTTAGCTACGTAAACCCATTGATTATCTCACAGCATCTGTGGGGTCCTCCGCTAAGGGTCTCTCGAGGCTGAAATGAGGCATCAGCTGGGCTGGGGTCTCATCCAGAGGCTCAGCAGAGAAAGGCTCCCTCGGCTGGCCGGTAGGATCCTGCCCCTCGTGGCCGTAGAAGTAGCTTCCTCAAAGCCAGCGAAGGGGAGAAGGTCTCTACTGCTTTGAATCTCCAATGCCAGGGAAGCCACGGACCCTCATTTTAAGAGATGCATCTGATTAGGTCAGGCCCACCCCACATGGTCTGTCTTTCGGTGAACTCAGAGTCATCTAATTAGGGACGCCACGAGCTGAGCCGTTCCCCTCCTGCCCTCCTTGCTCCCACACGCACTCGTGTGGCACTAGAGGTGACTGCTGACCATGCACCTGTGTCCTGGCTGTCACCCTCTGTGACCCTGGCCAGTGAAGGTGTCCAGGCTGTACCTCAGCAGTGGGGGCCCCAGGGGCTCCAGCGTGAGCATGACGCTCCCGTCCCCCACCCCTCAGCTGGGAAGGCCTCGGCACCCCCTGCCACCTCCCTGCCAGGTCCCCAGGCCCCTGTCATGTCCACCTGTCACTTCCCTGGGGCTGGCCTCGTGCTATGGGCACTCCATGCATCTGGCCCTTCCCGGGTGGTTGCATGGCTCTACCCTCTCGTTTGTCCTCGGACCTCAGCACCCATCCCCTCACCCCCAAACACGAGAGACTGTCCCTTCATAGAGGAAGGAAACGTCCGAGCGCACACCTCCGGCCCTGCCGCCTCAGTCCCACCTTGCTGACCAGGACTCACCCTGAGCTGGGGACACGCTCATGGTCCTAGTTGTGCGGGGCCTCCTGGCTTTCGTGTGAGTGAGGCACACAAGTGCACGCAGCCCAGAGGAGGGCCCCGCTACCTGCCTGTGTTTGTGCGATCTCAGGTGTTTCCGTGTGCGTCCTCCCACCCCAGGCACTCTCCGTCACTGCTTTGAAGGCCCCCCCACACACAATTAACCGCCTTGTCTCTCAGTTCTTTAATTTAAAATATGCTCTTGCTATTTGAGGAAAAGAAGATTTTCTCCATCTACGGGCACTACCCAGTGATACGGGCCACCCTTCGAAGAAAGGGCTGGGTGGAGAAGAAGTTTCACTTTCTGCCCAGGGTCATCCCGAATGTGGACGATGACGGAGCAGGGGTGACTGGTACAGTATCGAAGGTGTCTCGTCTCTCGGTGTAAGGCGTGCGTGTGGGTCTGTCAGCGGACCAGAGTGAGCCACACCTGCCCGGGGAGGGCTGCTCCGGCCCGCAGGGCCTGGGATTTGGGCCTCCTCTGCGTGTGGGGGTCTCCCGGGGGGGGCGGAGGCCATTGCCTTCCCCAGGCATCCTCACACCAGGCCTGTGCTTCCACGTCCCCAGCTGGTGGCTTCTCAGTGTCCCCCGTCCACGCCCACAACAGGTCTCCTCCCCTGTGTCTGGGCAGTGGCCACCATCCTTTGCTGTCCCCACCCTGTCTGTCCCCACTGGTCACACTCCTGGGGTCACTCTGCCCCAGGCCTCGCCTCCTGCTCTGCAGGGAGCATCTGCATGTCCTTGGCCCTGGGGTCTGCACAGGGCCAGCTCCCGCACGGTGTATGGGACCCACATCAACCCTGTCACCATCCCGCTCCTCGTGCCCCCTGTAGCACACCCACCCCAAAGCTGCCTGCCCCGCCCCACACCTGGGGTTCCCTGACCCCAGCACCACACCTGGCGGAGGGACCATGCAGCAGACACCGGGACGGGTCGATGTAGCCCAAGCCTGATGTCACCCTGTTGCATCTCAGGACCTGCCAAGGGCCCCTAGAGATGAGGCTGCTGAGGCACCAGCAGGTGCGCTGTGGCTGTGTGGCATGGGGGGCCCTACTCAGGCACTGCAGGCTCTCGGGGTATTGTGTTTGCAGAACATAAACAGGTTGAAGGCAAAGAAAATGAAGAAGTGGCTTTGGAGAAGACAGATGACATCCACGACGTGATGGTAGGTCCCCACACCTGAGCTCCTGTGGGCTAGGTGGACCTCAATCTCCCCGCGCCTCCTCACACTGTCACCTTCCCTGGGCCGTGTCCTGGGCACGGGTGGCAAAGCCAGTCACTCCAGGGTGCTGGATGCATGCGTGAGCTCGTGTGTGTCCATGTGCACCCGTGTACGTGTGTGTCCATGTGCACCCATACGTGTGTGTCCATGTGTGCCTGCACGTGTGAGCTCATGTGCATCTGTGTGAGTACGTGTGCTTGCATGTGTCTGTGTGCGCCCGTGTGTGAGCTCATGTGTGTGTACCCTTGTGCATGCATGCATTCATGTGTCTGTGTGTACCCTATGTGTGCGTTCATGTGTGTGCTCATATGTGTACACCCATGTGCATTTGCACTCATGTGTGCATGTGCATGTGTGTGCCCGTGTGCATGCACTTGTCTGTGTCCATGTGCACCTCCATACATGTGTGTACGCTTGTGTCCTGCCGTTTATACTTTGATGGTTCATGCCACACTTGAACACATGAGACTTATGCCAGAGAGTGACAACAAAAGCTGCCGACGTCACTGAAGAGTAGGCTGTGAGTCCAGCATTTGGGATAAGTCTTAGGAAGTGATGCCTCCGGCTCTGAAAGAGTGGGGAGCAGGGAGGAGATTAGTTCCCCCGGTCACAGTACGCCCACCCCGTGCCCACACCCACAGGGGCACCCACGGGCCAGGCAGCTCAGACATCGCTCAGCCACACACACGGTGGCCCCTCAAGGGATAGCCGTTGCCAGACTTCCAGAAGAGAGTCACAGAGTACACACCTCAGGTGTCATTTGAAATCTGATTTCTACATGTGGCAGGTTCTCAAAAAGTTAAAATTAAAGCTGCCCTACAAACCCAGCAGTTGCACTACTGGGTATTTACCCCAAAGGACACAGACGTAATGATCTGAACGGGCACCTGCGCCCCGAGGCCCACAAGAGCCAAACTGCAGAGAGGGCCCGCCCAGGTGTCCATCCACAGATGAATACCTAACGGAGGCGTGGTCTGTAGACATAACGGGGTATCCCTCAGCCACAGGCAGGATGAGATCTCGCCATTTGCAGCAACATGGTTGGAACTGGAGGGTTTTATGCTGAGTGAAATAAGTCAGAGCGAGCCTGTTATCCTGTGATCTCACTCATATGTGGAATTTAAGAAAGAAAACAGAGGATCACAGGGAAAGAGAAAAGAGATAAGGAGGCAAACCATGAGAGGGGCTGGGGGGTGACTGGCATGAAGGGGGGCTCAGGGCGTGATGAGCACCGGGTGTCGTCGGTAAGTGATGAATCACTAAATTCTACCTCTGAAGCCAACTTTACCACATATGCTGATTAACGAGCATTTAGAGAAACACTTGAGGGCAGCCGGGGTGGCTCAGCGGTTGAGCATTTGCCTTCAGCCCAGGCTGTGACCCCGGGGTCCTGGGATTGAGTCCCGCATCAGGGTCCCCGCAGGGAGCCTGCTTCTCCCTCTGCCTGTCTCTCTCTCTCTCTCTCTCTCTCTCTCTCTGTCTCATGAATAAATGAATAAAATCTTAAACTTGGAAAAAAGAACAAAAACAAAACAACCCTGATTCCTTTGCTCTCACATCCCCACAACCTTGGATGCAGGGTGTTGACAAGGGTTTTTTCTTCCTAGTCCAGATTGGTAAAAAACGAAGTGCCCTACTTGCTGTGGACTATCAAAAGGGACGTCATTGACTATCACAGCCTGAACTGTGACCAGATGCTGAATCACTACGGGAAGACAGCTTCCTTCACTACCAAGGTGAGGGGGGCCCGGGCGCGGGTCGGCGGGAGCAGGTGCAGCGCAGCGCTTGCCTCCTATTAATCTCCAGTGGCTGAGCTGGACCCCTCGGGGCTCCTCCCCAGGACCGCGGCTGCTAGGCCCATGATCCGTGTCCAGAGTCCCTCAGTACCCGCTCCCCTCGCGCCCGAGCCCCATGTGCCCTTTGCCCTGTGTCCTTCCTCTGGACACTCAGGACCTTGGGCGGGGCAGGTGGGCGCTGCCACCACAGCCCTGCATAGGCTCTGCATCCTGGAGAGGCCCTGGCCACCTCCCCCGCACAGGGGCCTCTGGCTGTCGGGCCCTGGGCACCTCCCGTCCTCCTGTCCTTTTGGTCCCATGGCCCCATCCGGTTACCCTGAGGGCTGAGGTTCAGGGGTGGGGGTCAGCCCGGAGGGGACAGGCCTGCACATACCCACGCGGAAGAGGTTGGGTAGAGGGGCTTCCAGGGACGCCACGGAGGGTCAGGGAGGGGGCTCACGCTGCCCCCAGGGCTCCCCGTGGGGGTCTGGCCCCTGGGCATCCTCACCCGGCCTCAGCGGCTGGCCCGCTTCCGGGCGGGGGTGATACCTGCAGGCGGCCCCGTTGGGCTGGGGTCCCTATGAACACCCCCACGTAGTGTGGCCACCAGTGCGCCCGGCAGCCAGCAGGCATGTGGCACTTCTTCCCAGTGGGGCAGTGAGCTGGGCCCTGGGGTGCAGGGCTTCCTGCCGGGCCGGGTGGGGAGTGCACCCCTAGGCTTGCTCTGTCCTTCCTGGCAGGGGCCCAGCACCTGTCAGCGACCTGGGAGACAGATGGGCCCAGCACCCTCAGGCCCTCAGGTGGCCCTGGCTGGCACATGGCTCACCCTGTTGTGAGAACCAGCGGGCCAGGGGCAGGAGGGGCTGGGGGGCTGGGGGGCTGGGGAGGTTCCGCTCCAACAGGTGCCCCTCCCAAGGGCCCTTTGGAGCTGGCGCGGCCAGCGGCCTGCGGGCGTTCGGGCTGGTCGGAGGGGACCAGCGCGTGGCCTGCAGGGCCCTGACAAGCCGCTGTCTCTGGAGATCGGGCTGTGCGTGAACATGCGGAGCCTGCCCTGGTACGTCCAAGCCAACCCCGACTCCTTCTTCCCCCGCTGTTACGGCCTCTGCACGGAGAGCGAGAAGCAGGAGTTCCTGGGTAAGTCGGGGGCGAGCGCCACGGTGTGGGTGTTGGGCCAGGAGCCCTGCTGAGGGGAGTGTGGCCCGGGCGATGGGGGCGGGGAGCTGAGGGCAGGGCCTGGTCCCCGCCCAAGGCCCAGGGGTGAGCTCGGCTCCAGTGGGGAGGGCTTGTCCACAGCGGTCCATGGGCAGCATCTCCCAAGCAGCAGCGGGCGGCGGCTATGCGCAGCTTGGTCCAGTTGGGCTACTGGGGAGACCTGTGCGGGATGGTCCCGGGACCCCGTGTGTATAGGCCACAGGCCCCAGGGACACCGGGAGGAGTCCGGGTGGCACCTGCCCAGAGAGCGAGGGAAAGCGAAGGGCAGGGCAGTGGGCAGCGCTTATTTGGGGGTGACTCGTGTTCCCTGAGCTCCTGACCGGGGACCGTGGGAACGCAGCACCTGCAGGCGCCCTGCAGTTCGTCCTGACCGCCCCCCCATCCCGGGGCTCCCAGGGGCAAACAGGCGCAGGCAGGACCAGGCAGAGTCTTGGGGGCTGGGCGGCAAACCGGCTGTCAGGGGGGTCACAGGGCAGAGGCCCGGAGGGAGGGAGAGCAGAGGGGACCAGGCTGGAGACGGCGCTTGTTGCGGGGAGGCCCAGGCGCGGGGCTCGGGCCCTGGAGGAGCTGCGAGGGGAACGGGGTCCAGGTGTTTCCCAGTGGCAGCAGCTGCTGGACGGCAGGCGGGGCCTCCTTTGCTGGATGAGCAAGGAGAGTTTTGGTTTTGGTTTGGTGAGCAGGTGTCGGAATTTCTTGCAGACCCCCCGAGGGCAGGGGTTGGAGTGGGATTGGGTAAGACAGGCCTCAGGGCGAGGGCTCATCCAGGGGGATGCTGGCTGCCCCTCTGGCCCGAGAGGGCCCTGGGAGCCAGGCCAGCCCCCCACCTGGGCAGGTGGGACCCCTCCCGCCATCTACAGGGAGCGCTGCGGCAGCCCACAAGTCCAGAGAGGGGCAGAGGGGCTCCTGGGGGGGAGGGTCCTGGTGTGTGTCCCTGGGGCGCTTGTGCCTTCTGGTGCAGGGCTGAGGACTCAGGGAGCACAGTGGCCTCAGGGACCACAGTGGCACTCAGGGAGCACATGGACGGCACAGTGGCCTCCATGGATTCGCCCCGGGTGGGGGTGGGGAGAGCAGCAGAGAGGCGGGAGAGGGCCCTGTGTGGTGGGGTGGGAGCCCCCGTCTGCAGAGGAGAGGAGGGCCAGGCTGGGGGTGCAGCTGAGACTGAGCGAACCGCCCCCTCCAAGGCGGTGAGGGCGGGAAGTGAGGCCCCCACAGGCTGTGGGGCACCCAGGCTGAGGACAGCTGGTGCTGGCCGAGGTCCCTGGTCCCCTGAGCCGGCAGAGGGGGCGAGGCCTTGGTGTCCTTTCAGACGACTTCCGGCGTACAGTGGCCTCCAGCATCCTCAAGTGGGTGGTCAGCCAGCAGCACTGCAGCGGAAGCCAACCCCATGGCAGGGGGGAGGCCGGCGGCCCGGGCCCCGGCCACAGGAAAGGTGTGCTGGGGCCGGGGAGGCCCGAGGGGGAGGTGGGTGCCAGGAGGGGCAGGGGGGGCCATGTGTCCAGGCCAGGTGACAGGGAATGGCTCTCCTTGTGGAGCAGGGCCACCGTGGCGGGAGGCACAGAAACCCAGATAAGTTTTTTTGTTGTTCACTGTCTTAGAGCAGCCTGGGCCGCTGTCAGGTTAGGCAGCAGGTGAGGGAGTTCCCGTCCACCCCCTGGGCCCAGCCCCCTCTGCCATCCCCACCCCCACCGATGCACACCTGTTACGACCCACGGACCTGCAGGGACACATCCCCGTCACACACACCGCTGTCTGTGCCAGGGCTTGCTCCTGTGGGTCTGGACGGAGGTGTGATGGGTGGAGCCAAGGTGATGGCTTCACTTGGAGCAGCCTCCGCCCCCAGGCCCTGGCCCGCGGGTCCCTTCCCTGGCTCCGTGGTCCTGCCCTTTCCAGAAAGGCTTTCCAGATCTGGCTGGGATCGGCCGTCCATAGCCTTTGCCCATGGCTTCTCTTGCTCGGGGATGTGCGGGCAGGGTCCCCCCACCTTCCCGTGGCTGGGTAGCTCATTTTAGCGCTAATATTCCATCGTCTGGCTTATCTATTCCTTCACCGACTGAAGGACATTCTGGTTGCTTCCAAGTTTGGGCAATTATGAGTCAAACTGCTCTAAACCTCAGTTTACAGGTTTTTGTATCGATGTAAGTTTTCTTTTTTTAAGATTTTATTTATTTATTCATGAGAGACACACAGAGAGAGAGAGAGAGAGAGAGGCAGAGACGCAGGCAAAGGGAGAAGCAGGCTCCGTGCAGGGAGCCCGATGTGGGACTTGATCCCGGGTCTCCAGGATCAGGCCCTGGGCCGAAGGCGGCACCAAACCGCTGAGCCACCCAGGCTGCCCCAGTGTAAGTTTTCAACTTGTTTGAGTCAATACCCAAAAGCATGATTGCTGGATACCGTGGTAAGAGCATGTGTGGCTTGCAGGAGAAGGCCAGGGTGCCTTCCCACCATCGGTGAGTGCGCCCCCCGCCGCCCCATGTCCTCCCAGCGCTCAGTGGAGTTGCTGCTCTGGATTTCGGCTATTCTGATAGCTGTGCCGTGGAAACTTGTGTTTTGCATTTGCAGTTCGCTGGTGACATAGGATGTTGAGCATCTCTTAATATACTTCTTTGCCATCTGTAAATATATTCTTTGGTGAGAAATCTGTTCAATTTCTCTGCTGTTTTAAAATTTTTTTATTGTTGAGACTTTAAGAGGGTTTTCTTTCTTTTTTTTTTTTGTATATTTTAGGTAACAGATATGTCTTTTGCAAATATTTTCTCCAACTCTGCGGCTTGTTTCTCATCATCTTGACAGCGTCTCTTGTGGGGCAGAAGTTTTTAACTTTAATGAGGTCCAGCTTACCAAGCAGTGCTTTCATGGGACTCTGCCTTTGGGGTTGTATCCAAAAAGTTATCACCACACCCAGGTTCATCTTGGTCTCCTGTGCTATCTTCTAGGAGTTTTATAGTTTTGTGTTTCACACTTAGGTGTACAATCCATTTTGAGTTAATTTCTATGAAGAACATAAGATGTGTGTCTAGATTTTTTCTTTTTCTATATATATTTTTTTGCACCCATTCCAGCACCATTAGTTGAAAAGACCACTTTTTCCCTTTATATTATCTTTGCTTCTTTGTCAAGGATCAGTTGATCATATTTTTTTTCCGTCTATTTCTGGGTTCTTTATTCTGTTCCAGTGATTGAGTTGTCTATTATTTCACGAATACCACACAGTCTTGATTACTATAGATTTGTTGGTAAGACTTCAAGTTGAATTGTGTCAATTTTATTTGTTCTTCTCCTTCAATATTGGCATGGCTGTTCTGGATCTTTTGACTCTCCATATAAACTTTATTTATTAGTTTGTTTTTTAAGATTTTATTTATTTATTCATGAGAAACACAGAGAGAGAGAGAGAGAGAGGCAGAGACACAGGCGTCGGGAGAAGCAGGCTCCACGCAGGGAGCCGGACATGGGACTTGATCCCCGGTCTCCAGGATCAGGCCCTGGGCTGAAGGTGGCGATAAACCGCTGAGCCACCTGGGCTGCCCTCCATATAAACTTTAGAATCAGTTAATCAATTTCCATAAAATGTCTTGCTGGGATTTTGATTGGAATTACATTGAATATATAGATTGAATAGGGAAGAACTGACATCTTGACAATGAAACTTTCCTATTCACGAACATGGAATTTCTCACTATTAATTTAGTTCTCCGTTGATCTCATTTGTCAGATTTTTGTAGTTTTCATCATATAGACTTTGTCAGATTTATTTATTTTCATATTTATTTAATTTTGGGGGTGCTAATGTAAATGGTATTGTGTTTTTAATTTCAAATTCCAATAATTCACTTGTGGTGTGTAGGAAAGTGATCCACTACGATCACTTATTAGTTCCAGGAGGTTTTTTTTTTTGTTAATTCTTCCAGGTTTTCTACATAGATAATCATGTCATCTGTGTATAAGACAGTTTTATTTCTTCCTTTCCAATCTGTATACTTTTTATTTTCTTGTCTTATTGCATTGGCTAGGATTTTCAGTACAATCTTGAAAAAACAGTGGTGAGAGGGAGGAGGTCCTGCCTTGCTCTTGATTTTAGAGTAGAAGTTTCTAGTTTCTTATTAAGTGAAATTTAGCAGTAGGGGTTTTTTTTTTTTTTTGGTATATATTCTCCTTTTTTAAAAAATATTTTATTTTTTTTTTATTTTAGAGAGAAAGTGCAAGTAGGGGTAGGAGCAGAGGGAGAGAGAAAGGGAAATAATCTCCAGCAGAACCCATGCTGTGCATGGAGCCTGACACGGGGCTTGATCCCACAACCCTGAGATCATGACCTGAGCTGAAACCGAGAGTTGGATGCTCAACTAACTGAGCCACCTGGGTGCCCTGTATATAGTCTTTATCAAGTTGAAGAAGTTCCTGTCTATTTCTGGCTTGCTGAGAGCTTTTATCAAGAATGAGAGTTGAATTTTGTCAAATGCTTTTTCTGCATCTATTGATATGATTATGTCATTTTTCTTCTTTAGCCTATTGATGTGTAATAGATTACATCAATTGATTTTTAAACGTTGAGCCAGTTTTGCATACCTGACATAAATCCTATTTGATTATGGCGTATTATTTTTTTTATACATTCTTGGATTTGACTTGCTAATATTTTGGTGAAGATTTTTGCTTCTGTGTTCATGAATGATTTTGGTCTCGAGTTTTCTCATGTCTTTCTGTGGTTTTGTTATTAGGGAAGTGCTGGCCTCATAGAATGAGGTAGAAAGTATTCCCTCTGTTTCTATCTACTGAGATTGTAGAGAATTGGTATGATTTCTTCCTTAAATGTTTGGCAGAACTCACCAGTGAACCCATTTGAATCTGGTGCTTCCTGTTTTAGAAGGTTATTAATTATTGATTCAATTTCTTTAATAGATATAGGCCTATTCAGATTGCCCATTTCTTTTTTTTAATTAAGATTTTATTTATTTATTCATGAGAGAGAGAGAGGCAGAGACACAGGCAGAGGGAGAAGTAGGCTCCATATGGGGAGCCCAATGTGGGACTCGATCCTGGGTCTCCAGGATTAGACTCTGGGCTGAAGGCGGCGCTAAACCGCTGAGCCACCCGGGCTGCTCTGTCCATTTCTTTATGTATGAGTTTTGGCAGGTTGTATCTTTTAATAAATTGGTCTGTTTTACCTCGATTATCAAATCTGTGGATGGTTACAGAGGGTGGAGTTTGTCTCCCCCCACCACCCCCCAGCAGGTCGGGCTCTGGGCAACTGTGGCTCCTGAGGGCGGGTCTTGTGAAGAACAGAATGGTCTGGCAACCTGCAGGATGGTTACTTTCCTTTTTTGTCAGAAGCAGGACGGGATTTTTCTCCCATATTCACTGTGAGAACCAGGTCAGGTTCCTGGAGAGAAGATTGACAAGAGCTCGGGGCCCTCCCGAAACTGACCCTCCTAGGGCAACGCCGCTTTGTCCACGCAGAGCCTCCAGCAGCTCAGCAGTTGCTACTCAGGTGTTTCTCTGCTGGGGTTGGTGTCTCGGGGTTTCTGCTGAGGGACTTTGAGCTCTGAACCCACCTGACTTTCTCTGCCATTTGGGGTGGTGGTTTTTCTTGTGACCTCGGGTCTCTGATGGAGTAAAGAAGAGTTGCTGAGTTTTCAGTCTCACTTTGTACTTGTTAGAATGTGTTGCAGCTTCCAGGCTCCTTCCGAGCCTGACCAGAAAACACAAGTGCAGTTTTACCCTTCAAAATGGCTATTTTTACGTTCTGTGAATTTCGCCTCAATACAGTTTAAAAACACATGTTGTAATCTCTACAGCAACCACGTGAACCGCGGCTTTTCCCCGGGGTCCTCATTGCTGGGGTCCCGGGCGGGCGATGCCTCGGCCCCCAGCCCCATGCGCGCCTGTGGAGCCCCCTCACAGCTGGTTTAGCTCTCTTCAGGCTCCTACCCCAGAGCCATGGGGACAGCTGGGGCTGTCCGCTCCTCCTTCCGGCTCCCTGCATGGTCCAGCTTGGGTCCGGGGCCCGGGAGCACGTGATGCTGCAGGAGGGGTGGGTGCAGGGGGCCTCCAGGTGCCTGCCGGCTTGTGGGTGTCAGGCAGGACTGCCGCCCGGTACTCACCCAGTACCCAGCGCACACTCAGGACAGTACAGATGTTGTGGCAAGTTCGGAGGTGGGGTTGCATCGCAGCCCACAGGCCGGGAGTCTGGTTGGAGGGTGTGTGTGGCCGGGGGAGGTGTGCGTGCACGGAGTCCAGGTGGGCTGCCCGCAGAAGGCATGGAGGGCTGGGGTCCATGTGCCCAGGTGGCCCCCACTCCACGTCCTGTGCTTGGGTTTCAGTTCCTGAGAATGCCGAGTCCAAGCTCATGGGCCTCTCGGGACAGCTCGTGGACACCGCGTGCAAGGTGTGCCAGGCCTACCTGGGGCGGCTGGAGCACAAGGACATCGATATTTCCGAGGACGCCAGCAAGGACCTCACAGAGGATGAGTGGAAGGACCTCACAGAGCAGTACTACTCTCTCATTCAGTAAGACGCGCCCTGGGCGGAGCTCGGACCCTGGGGCTCACCTGAATGGGGGACGTGGAGGGGAAGCATCAGATGCTGTCTAGGGAGGTCCCGCCTCGCCCATCTGGGTGTTGGGGTGCTTGCCTGGGTGTTGGGGTACCCACACTCACTGCTGCCTGTCCCAAGCCCCTGTTGGCTCATAAAAGGATGGCACCCCCTGGGGGCACCTTTGGGTGGCATCGCCTTGAGCAGCACCTTCCACTCCGTTCTAGTGTTTTACCTCTTTGAACCCCAGAGGTGAGCTCTGTGTAGTCAAGGGCCAGCAGGAGGCTTGCGTGGCCCAGTCCTCCTGACTCTCCGGTGCCCCTGCTGCCTGGGAGTCCACGGCAGAGCCTGGCTTACCCCTGTTCTGAGCGCCGGGTCCTTCCCAGGCTGGAGACCCAGCACCCCCTTTACAGCAGCCAACGGGGCAGCTGGGGTAGGAGCGACCCGGGCACCCCTGCAGCAGGAGCAGCCTATGGCCAAGGGAACAACACTCATTTTGGAGAGTCTGCTCGCAGCCCCACACACCATCCCAGGGATGTTTTTGTTCTTTGATTCCTTCTCTCCTTTTGGATCAGTCACTATCTTGTCTTCTTGTCATTGAGCTATGAACACAGCGCAGAGGGTGCCGTGCGCTAACTGGATTTGTCCGAGTGGGTGAAATTTTGTGCTTGCCTGCGAAGGCTGCCTCCTAGGTCAGCGCCCATCGGGCCCCCACGGAGCTCACGCCGGTGTGCCTCTTTTCACCTCAGCTGGTTTTGTGGTGGACGTTCAGGGGCATGGAATCACGCCGGCCGCACTCTCTCGGTTGTGACTCTTGCTCGACAAAGTCTGTGGGATTCATCCGCACTGCTGCAGGAACCGAAGCCCGTTCCTTCCTGCTGCTGGGCAGGGGCTCGTCCTATTAGTAGACCACGGTTTTCACTTCTCCTGTGGATGAGCAACTGGATGACCTCTGGTTGTTAAGAAACTTCCAGAGATTCCTACAGATTCAGATGCCAGCAGTGCTGAGTGGGCCACACGGCCTGCAGGTGGAGGACAGCCTTGTCTCTGTCCTTCCTTTAGTTTTGCCTTCCTGTTCCATTGTGGTCTTCATTTACATTTCTCTGAAGACTGATGATGTGGAACATTGTTTCAGATGCTTATCAGTCATTTGAATATTTTCTTTTGTGAGGTGCTTGTTCACATCTTTCGTGTGTTTAAAAATCAGGTTGTTTGTCTCTTTAATTTTTATTTTATTTTATTTTATTTTAGATTTTATTTATTTATTAACGAGAGACAGAGAGAGAGAGAGAGAGAGAGAGAGAGAGAGAAAGAGAGAGAGAGAAAGGCAGAGACCCAGGCAGAGGGAGAAGCAGGCTCCATGCGGGAAGCCCGACATGGGACTTGATCCCAGGTCTTCAGGATCAGGCCCTGGGCTGAAGGTGGCGCTAAACCACTGAGCCACCCGGGAAAGCCCATCTTTAATTTTTATTAATTTAAAATATTTTTAAATTTATTTTTTACTTTTTTGTTCTTATTAAATGTTTAAAAGAGTTTATTTATTTATTCATGAGAGACACAGATTGAGAGGAAGAGTAACAGGCAGAGGGAGAAGCAGGCTCCATGCAGGGGGCCCGATGTGGGACTAGATCCCGGGTCTCCAGGATCACGCCCTGGGCTGAAGGCGGCACTAAACTGCTGAGCCACCTGGGCTGCCCTGGGAGTCCTGTTTTAAGAAACCTTTACGTATCCAGGGTCTTGAAAATATTGTTCTATGAATTCTTCTAGATGCAGATCTTCATGTGCATGGTCACTTAGGACCAAGGTGCAAATCAACAAGGAAGGGTTAGTCCTTGCACTAGATGGCGTGTGAGCAACAAACATCTTTATGAACAAAGAAGTTGTATCTTGAATCCTGTCTCCTACATACACAAAGATTACTTTGAGATGTTTCACGAGATACGTGAAAGTTACGCGAAAAAGGAAAACACTAGCGTCTGCATTCGTGACCACAAGGGAGGCACAGATTCATTAGTTTAATAAGAGCACTAATCATAATAGATCAAGTGGATAAATTGTACTTTATTGACATGAAAAACTCTGTTTATGAAGAAACAGTCCCTGGAGAATGGGAAGGTGTGCCAAAGTGGGGGGACATACTTAGTACGCACGTGCCCGACAGGGGTCCCACGGTATCTCACAGGCTCTCTGGACCTTGCCTTGTAGCGGTGACGCGTTCATCTCCAACTCGAGAAATCACTTGTCGCAGTGCCAGGCTCTGCTGAATAAAATCACGTCCGTGAACCCCCAGACGGAGATCGACGGGCTTCGGAACATCTGGATCATAAAGCCGGCAGCCAAGTCCCGCGGCCGAGGTCAGTCGGAGGCCACCTACCGGTCCCCAGAGCGCCGTGCTCAGCCTGGGCACAGGGGTGCAGCTCCCGACGCGGGTCTTCACCAGGTCTGGATGTTCCCAAGTCAAACCGGGCTGTGCTTTTTATATTACCTCGCTCGATCTTGGCTTCAGACTTACCTGGCTACTAAGGCCGATGCAGGACTTCCTTCCCGCTCCTTACTCACCTGCAAGCACCCGCGCTCTTGGAGGCACATCCTTATCGCCTGTACCTTTTGTCTGATGGGTTCAGGTTTTGTGCCTCGTCTTGTGCAGTAGCTACGACTGTGTCCTCTTTATTCCCAGTGGGGAATAACTGTGTGTTTTTTTTAAAACACAAGATCTCAGGGGTTTTAAATCTTACTTGTGTTTCCGAAGAACCAACCTTAGGTTGCATTTTTCCAACACCCTGTGAGAGATTTTTCCCTCCCCTTTGACTCTAACTTCAGTGCTCAGCCTATTTATCTCGTCTTTTGTGGGCAACAATAAAGGCCTTAAGGCTGTGAAATCTCCTCCTAAGACGGCCCTGGCTGCAGCATCCTTCTTGTTTGTGTTGTGTGATGTGTTTCCTGAGCATCTAAATAGACTTTACTTTTTGTTTGGATATTTTATTTTCCCCTTTAGTTATTTGAAGAGTTTTATTGTTGTTTTAAATTCATAAAGCAGCTAGTTTTTATATGATTAGAAAAATCTTTTTTTGTTTTGTGACGTTGCTGCATTCGTCTAAGCATTGTCTGTCCGGAGACATTCTCTTTCCTGGGCTTCCACCTGCTGTCCTTGAGTGCCTGCCCCCCTGGGTCTGGCCGGTGCTCCTCCACGGGCTCCATCCTGAGTCTGTGCCTCTGGACAGTAGCATCGGCCGCTGGTGGCTCCCCTGTCCACCAGGCCCGACCTTCCTCCCACTGCAGACACCTGCATCCTCAAGGATGCCCTACAGACACCTCAGACCCGCCTGTTCAAATCCAAAGGCAGTGCTTTCTGGCTGGGCACTGGCTGCACCCCTTCCTGCTCCGAGCCCAGGATAACTTCAGAACTTTGCTGCTTTGCCCTAGTCTTTCATTTCAGGATGGCAAGGGCTCGCTTACAGTCGAAGAGACAAGACTTGTGTTTTCTTGGGGAAAGCTCACCTCATGTGTTGCTATGCCTTGTGCCTCTGGGCCTCTGCACATGGTGCTCCTCTCCTGCGCTGTTTCAGTCAGGATAGGCCAGATTGTGCTGGTAACAAGCAGTCCCCAAACCTCAGTGGTTGTCAGTGAGACCAGTTCATCTCTAGCCATCCTCGGCCATTATGGGTTGGCACGAGCAGATAGTGGGGGCGGGGGGTCTGCTCACCAAAGTCCCCCACCATCTTGTGACATCATTCCCTCCAGGCTTCAGGGTTGTCACAGCAGAGAAAGAGGGGGCTGGAGGGTCTGGTGGTGACCCAACAGACGAGAGAGATGCATGTCACTTCTCAGGTGTCACTGGTCACCACTAGTCATGTGGCCTAACTTTGGGGGGATTGAGGATGAGAAATTGCAAATTGCAGCCCCCCCTGCAATGTGGAGGAGTAGCAGAATGGGTATGCTAATGTGCAGTCCTACCATTGGTTCCTCACCAGACCCCAGGCCCCTGGACACCTGCCCCTTGTAGCGGGCGGGCACCCCACCCCTGCCTGCTGGTTCCTTGAGGCCTGTTCACTCCACACCCAGGGCTGGTGCTCGGCCACTGCTCACTGGATGCCTTTTAAAAGTGCCTCTGTCCCCATCCCTGTCCCTCTCTTTCTTGTGTCCTCTCTTAAATCCTGGGGGCTGGCCCCCTGGTGGGAGAGCTGAGGGTGTGGCACCTGGTTGTGGCCTCCACCCTGAGGGCAGAGCCTTCCCTGCTGGGCGGCCCCACTGCAGTGCTTCATGGTCCTGGATCAAAGCCACCTCGGGCCTCAGGGCTGGACCTAAACCAGGCCTGAGTGCCCTGGGGCTGAGTGGTGACCTCTTGCAGACATAGTGTGCATGAACCGAGTGGAGGAGATCCTGGAGCTGGTGGCTGCAGACCATCTCCCTGCCAAGGACAACAAGTGGGTGGTGCAGAAGTACATCGAGACCCCACTGCTCATCTATGACACCAAGTTCGACATCAGGCAGTGGTTCCTAGTCACCGACTGGAACCCCCTGACCATTTGGTTCTACAAGGAGAGCTACCTGCGGTTTTCAACACAGCGCTTCTCCCTGGAAAATCTGGACAGGTCAGTTGGAGCGTCAGCTTGGTGCCACGGGGTGCAGGGGTGCATAGCATGCCCCGCCAGTACCTGCGGGAAGTGGCTGGGCTGCCAGGCCGTGTTTGCCGCTATCATCCATCACCACCTTGAGGCACAAATGAAACAGGCCTGGGTAGGTCCAAACGACCTCCATCCCCAAGGGGCAGGCCCAGGCCAGCTGTTCTTCAAAGCCAGAGCTCTGTACCCTCATAATGTGTGTCTTCTCCAAAAAATCCTAAAGGCACCATTTGCCATGTGCCCACAAGGTGCCCGGCCCCACCCGGGGATGACACGTGTCAATGACAGGCCTAAAACCTCCTTCCGGGGTGGAGGTGGCCTCCTCTGCTGGAAAGGCTGAGTGCCAGCTGTGCTCACGCTGCCCCACAGCTGGCCCAGCCTGGGTGTGCATGCTCTCCCTGCTTCACCATCCTGCTCTCTGGGTCCAGCCGCATACAGGCCAGGGCACCTGGGAGGTCCCTGGGGGACAGGTGCCTATGCCAGCCCCTCAGACCCCCTCAGGAGTCCCTCTTTGTGAGCCCAAGACGTCTGGTCTTGGCTCCACTTCTTGGGGTCCTGCAGAGCAGGGAGGCTGCTGGACTGGCTGGGGAGGTAGGGGTGCAGGCCTCCAGCCTGTGGGACATGAGAATTGCCTGAGGGGTCCTCTGAGGACCCTAAGAAGTGGGGAGCATGTGAGTCAGAAAAGGCCAGGATGGTGTGGACCGCACCCCAGATCCCAAGGCCCCTGGGGGGAGGGTGCGGGGGCAGGTGGCACATGGACGGGGCATAGGCTCAGACGTCCAGGAACAGGAACGGGGTGCCAGGGGTAGGGGGACCCACACCTCCCCAGGGTCTCCAGGTGGGCGGGATGTGCGTGTGGCAGGGATGGCAAGGCCCTCTGCAGAGTGTCGGGAACAGGCCACCGTCAAGGCAGAGAATTTTCTTTGCCTCTGTCCAAACCAGGGGCTCCCTGTTCTGCCTTGTACCCACTGGGCGTGCGGGGGTGGGTGCCTAGGCATCTTGACCAGGGCTTTAGAGAGGAGTCGGGGCTCCAGGAGAGGGGATCCTGGAGAGAGGGGTCCTGGAGGAGGGGTTCCGGGGGGAGGGGTTCCGGGGGAGGCTCCGGGAGGAGTCCAGGAGGAGGGGCTCTGGGGGGAGGGGTCCCAGAGGTGGGGCCCCAGAGGAGGGGTCCTGAGACTCCCCCATGCAGGAGGAGCCCCTCTCGCTCTCCCACCCAGGCCCCGGGGCCCAGCCAAGCCATGTGCCTGGTGGATCTCGCCCTCTCAGCCCCAGGATATCCGTCTGGGACCGTAACCCTCCCCCCAGGCAGTCAGAGATTCCCCGAAATCGGTTCCATCGGACACGGCCCCTCCCGGCCTAACTGTGCGGGGACTGCAGGGTTGGCACTGAGGGGGGGGGGGTCCACTTCCCCGCGCCCACGGCTCCCGGGTCCCAAGGCCCTTCTGTCTGCTGTCTCTTTTCCGTTTGTCTGTCCTCTGGAAGGACGACCTGTCCAGGAACCCAGGGAGGGGCCCCCTTCCCTCGTGGTTCATCTCGTCCAAGTTACCTGTTTCTAAACCTGTTTGGAACAAGGCAAGAGAGTCAATGGAACCTTCACGGAGACTCACCTTGTGTCCCTAGACCAGCTCTTCAAGGGCCACAGCTCTACTGCCAGATGCAGATGGGGAAACTGAGGCTCTGGGAGGCGTTACTCCTGGAGGTCCTGGAGCTACCAGAGCCCCTCTTTAGGCTGCCCTGTGCCAGGGTGCAGGGCCGTGAGAGCAGAGTCTCTGTGGGCAGGGCCAGGGGTGGCTGAGGGTCCCCATGGGCAGGGCGGGGTAGGTGGGGGCATAGAGTTCGGAGACTAGGGTCCGGGGGCGCGGTCTGGAAGTAGGGTTGTGGGTCCCAGCGTGGAGACGGGGTCCCGGGTTGCAGGGATGGCAGAGGTCCAGGGTCTGGGATCCAGTGGCGGCATGGGGGTGCAGGGTGGGTCCGGGTCTGGTCCTGTCCGGGTACTGACCGCGTGGCCTCACCCTGGCGCAGCGCCATCCACCTGTGCAACAACTCCATCCAGAAGCACCTGAAGAACGACAAGGACCGCAGCCCCTTGCTGCCCTACCACAACATGTGGACCAGTACCAGGTTCCGGGAGTACCTGCAGAAGAGGGGCCGCGGGACCGTGTGGGCCAGCGTCATCTATCCGTCCATGAAGCGGGCCATCACCAACACCATGAGAGTGGCCCAGGACCACGTGGAGCCACGCAAGAACAGCTTCGAGCTGTATGGGGCCGACTTCATCCTGGGGCGCGACTTTCAGCCCTGGCTCATCGAGATCAACTCCAGCCCCACCATGCATGCGTCCACGCCGGTCACGGCCCAGCTGTGCGCCCAGGTGCAGGAGGACACCATCAAGGTGGTGGTGGACCGCAAGGTGGACCGCAACTGCGACATCGGCAACTTCGAGCTGCTGTGGAGACAGGTGAGGGGCGAGGGCTGGGCGGGTAGAGGTCGGCTGGCCGGCGGCACCTGCTCCTGCCTGCCCCTGACTGCAGCCACTTCCAGCAAACTGAGCAGGCAGTGAGGCCCACGGCCCGGGTTCACCCCGTGCCCCGGGCCTGGCCCCAGCCGGCCCTCACCACTCCGCCACGCTCCCTCTCCTCCCCACCATCCCCAGCCCCGTGCCTACCAGGCTGCGTGGTCCCTTTGCCAGGGACTCCAGCTCCACGGGGGGACCCTGTGCCCAGGGGCCCTGGAGGAGGGGCCTGGCGGGCAGCCCTGCTTCTCTTGAGGCCTCACACCCAGCTGGCCAGCTGGCGGACATAGGAAGGGGGAGCAGAGGTCCCGGGCCAGGGCCCACCAGCCACCCCTGACCCCACCCTCCCCTGCCTAGCCTGCTGTGGAGCTGCCGCCCTTCCACGGCTCCGACCTCTGCGTGGAAGGCGTCAGCATGAAGAGAACCAAGAAGCACATGCCTCCCATTTCCAACATGACCTTTTCATCTTCCCTCTTGAACATTCAGCCACTAAAAGTGAGGTGCCCCTCGGCCATGCCAAGGCCAGCTCTGGGACCTCCACAAATGACTCTGCAGCAAGACTTGAAAGTGAAGGATGGGAAGGTCCTCGCATGCACGTTGCCTGTGCCCCTAAAGAGGGCGGCCGAGAGGAGCTGTAAGGTCCAGTCCGCCAACGCCAAGTCTGGTGGGAGGATAGAGCTCCCCACTTGTCATTTTCAACACATAGACAGTAAGACCCCAAAAACTGGTCTTACCAAAGCCGAGTCCCACAAGCACTCAGAGGCAAACTCACTAAGTGTGCACCCACTGCTGTCCGTGCTCCCACGCGTGAAGACAGTGGAGGGCGCTCTGTTTCAGCCACCCAAACCACCAGGTAACAGCGCGGCCGCTTGCGCCTGTCCCAGTCCTGGGGCTGCTTGGGGCTGCCCGCTGCGCGTCCCACAGGGCGAGGCGGGGGCCTGTGGCCCAGGCAGCAGGTGCATCCTGATGCGGGCACCGGCCTGAGCTCAGAGCGGGCTCGGGCCCCCTGGTCCCATCCTGGGACTGGCCAGGTGGTTGGGGTAGCGGGTTCCTGCAGCAGCCTTGCCAGGGAACCCTCACAGGACCGGTGGGTGACACCTGATGTGCTGTAGTGCCCGTGGGGGATTGAGTTCATCGTGTGAACAGTGCCAGGGGCCGTGGACAGGTGCCCGCGATCACTGGGATCTTGTTTTGGGTTTCCTGAAGTTCCTGATGGTGCTGAGCCTGCGCAGCCTGGGAGCCTGTCCCGGACCAGGCTCAGAGCTCAGGCAGACAGGTGGGGGGCAGCCCCGGGTCTCTGGGGGCACCCGGCACCCTGCAGTAGCCCGGAGAGTATGTGTGATGAAAAGGCTCGAGTGGCCACTCCCACACCCCCGCCTGGTTCTGCTCCAGGGACATTTGCCTCCTCAAACACACCTAGTATCTGTACCCGCTGTTCCCTCCCCCCGCCTGGGTCTCCGTGTCTCTCTCCCTCCCCCTCCTTCCCTCTCTCCCCCCTCCCTCCCTGGCACCGAAGCTTCTTTGCCCCTCATCTGCTGGCTGTTTGCCCCCCAGAGCGCAGGTCCCTAAGGGCTGCGCACTTTCTGCTGTTTTCACCGCTCACCAAGACACTTGGGACGGTGCGTGGCACACAGCCAGTGCCCAGTAGGTGTTTACTGGATGAAGATGCTTCCAGAGCTGGCGGTGCCCTCGGAGGACATCCCTGGGCCCACCCACTGCCCTCGCCACATGTCCAGTCTGGCACTGCAGCTGGGCAGCCCTGCCACTCGGCAACTTGCCTCTGTGTGGATGATTTCTAGATTTTTCCGTGTTACGAAAACAGTGTGCTCCCCATAACACACTGTGCGGCTTCCTATGGGTCTGCTTCTGGGAGTGTAGTGTCGATGGAGTGCACACAGCTTCAGCTTCACTGTGGGGCGTGGGGAACTGTGTTCTTCCGACATCCTGGAGCCCGGAGTCGGAATCAAGGTGCTGGCAGGGCCGTGCTCTCAAAGGCTGTTGGGAAGAATCCTTCCTTGTTTTTTGCAGCTTCTGTGCCTGCTGGCAATCCTCCCTGCGCTTGGCTCGTAGATGTGCCCCTCCGGGCTCACATGGTGTTCTTTCCCTGTGTCTGTGTCCAAAATCCACTCTTAGAAGGACAGCATTGTTGTACTAGGGCCCACTGTCCTCCCTCCAGAGTGACCTCTGCAGTGACTATTTCTAAATAATGTCACATTCACAGATTCCAGGTGGACATGACCTTGTGGGGTGGGCTCCAACTGGTCCTCTGAGCCTCATAAGCATGGCCAAAGGGGCCGCACTCTGCGTTCACACCCGTGGCCATTGCTCCCATTGCTGCCAGCACTGGGCACCGAGGGACGTCCGATGTTTGCCTCTGGACGGAGTGCCGCACTGCTCATTTCCATTTTTCCGCTTACCAATAAAATGGCCTATTTTCAGACATGCATTGGCCATTTACGTTTCCTCTCCTCTTTTTTTTTTAAGATTTTATTTATTCATGAGAGACACAGAGAGAGAGGCAGAGACACAGGCAGAGGGAGAGGCAGACTCCCTGCAGAGACCCTGATGTGGGACTCGATTCCAGGACCGGGATCATAGCCTGAGCCAGAGGCAGATGCTCAACCACTGAGCCACCCAGGCATCCCTATGTTTCCTCTCCTAAAAAAGAACCCACTCAACCCTTTGCCCCGTTGTCCTTAGATTCCTAGGTCTGTTTCTTTTGGATTTGTAGGGGTGATGTCTATTCTGGATTCTCCTTTTTCAGTTGACTGTGTTACAAATACTGTCCCCCACGTTGTGATTTGTCTTTTTGCTCCTTTATGGTATCTTTTGATGTAAAGTCACCTTAATTTTAATAAACTCAAACTGGTCAACCTTTTCCTCTATGGTGGGAGATTTCTGTGGCTTATAGCCTTACCCTGAGGTCATGAAAATAACTTCCAGGGGCTTCTTCTATAAGTGCTGCCATTGCTCATACATTTCAGTCTTTAATGCTCCTGGGATTGATGGGACCTGGGGTCCTACACAGTTTCATAGGGGACCCAACTGTGGGAAGCCCCTCATCCATAGGTCACCACTGTCACATACGGTATCTCTGGACTTTCTGGTCGGCTCCATCGGTGTGTTCATCTGCCCTGGACCGAAGCCCCAGTGTCTTCATCACTGTAGCTTTGCAGGACATCTTTATGCTAGTCAGCCTTGTTTTTCTTCCTTGGAGATGACTTGACTCTTGAGCCCTCACACTTCCATGCAAGCTGTAGAACTAGATTGTCAAGACCCACCAAAAAAATTTAAAATTAAAAAATGTTGACTGAGGTTAAATTTATGTATCAGTTTGAGGAGAACTGACTTCTTTACATTTTTGCCTTATGATCTATGAACATGGTATATCTCTCCATATACTTGTCCTTTAATGTTTTTCAGTAAACTCCTAGACTTTTCTTTGTAATGGCTTATGCTTTTTTTTTAAGATTTTATTTATTTATTCATGAAAGACAGAGAGAGGCAGAAACACAGGCAGAGGGAGAAGCAGGCTCCATGTGGGGAGCCCGATGCGGGACTCAATCCCGGGGCTCCAGGATCACACCCTGGGCCGAAGGCAGGTGCTAAACTGCTGAGCCATCCAGGGATCCCTGCTTTTTTTTTTTAAGTTAGATTTAGTTTTATATGTGTTTTATTTTTTTATTCTATGATAAGTAGTATCAACATTTTTATGTTTTCTTTATTTTTCTTTTTGACGAATTGTGGCTGGTTGATAGAAATGGAATTGATTTTTGTGAATCAGTCTTTTTTCAATCCAGCCGTCTGGCTAATGTTTCTATCAATTCTATTAATATTTAAAGATTATTTTTAATTTTTCACATGCACAATTATATCATCTGAAGAGTTTTCCATTTCTTGCTATTATAGATTTTGTATCTTTTTCTTATTTTATTGCACTACCTAGAACCTTATTTAATTGATCCATTTTTCTCATTTCACTGGATGGCAGATACATATACTCTGGTTAGTCATAATCCTTGGTTCATGGCAAAGTTTCATTGTTTGTCCTTACATGGCTCACTTTTATTTAGATAGTTTTAAAGACAGAATTAGGGGCACCTGGGTGGCTCAGTTGGTAAAACATCTGCCTTCAGCTCAGGTCATGATCTCAGGGTCCTGGGATTGAGCCCCACATCAGGCTCCCTGCTCAGTGGGGTGCCTGCTTCTCCCTCTTCCTCTGCTCCCCCTGCCCATGCTCTCTTTCTCTCTCTCAAATAAATAAATAAAATGTTAAAAAAAAAAACAACTAAAACTGTAATGAAAACCATAGAGTGATTTCACATCGACCCATCTCTGGCACCCCTACTCCCTGCATCTCCCCCTTAAGTGACCATTATCCTTAAAACCACATTTGTCAAATCCTTGTTTTCCTTTTTAGTTTTGTGGCATCCATATGCATTCTTTAAAATATTTTTAGGGGATCCCTGGGTGGCTCAGCAGTTTAGCGCCTGCCTTCAGCCCGGGATGTGATCCTGGAGACCCGGGATCGAGTCCCGCATCGGGCCCCTACGTGGAGCCTGCTTCTCCCTCTGCCTGTGTCTCTGCCTCTCTCTCTATCATGAATAAATAAATAAAATCTTTTTTAAATTTTTATTATTATTTATTTATGATAGTCATACAGAGAGAGAGAGAGGCAGTCTGTTCATATCTTTTGCCTTTCTGTGAGATTGTTTATGTTCATAGTTATCTATTGTGAACAGCTTCTCCCAGTTTGTAACTGTATTTTTGGTTTTTAAAAAGTATCTTTTGGGACGCCTGGGTGGCTCGGGGATTGAGCATCTGCCTTTGGCTCTGGGCGTGATCCCCAGATCCTGGGATCGAGTCCTGCATCGGGCTCCCTGCATGGAGCCTGCTTCTCCCTCTCCCTGTGTCTCTGCCCCTCTGTATGTCTCTCATGAATAAATGGATAGAATCTTTTTAAAAAAAAAAAGTATCTTTTGATGAGAACTGAATTTCAGTATATGTGCTGCCAAAGTGAGCACTGAAAACTGAATTTCAATGTGGTCAAAATTATCAGTATTTTTTCTAGTCAGTGCTATTTTTGTTCTAAGAAATTTTTCCTTACCTTGAAGTTTAAAATATTATTTACCTACATTTATTACTAGGAGTTTCAAATTTTGTCTTTGATGTAGAAGTCATAACCCGTCTGGAATTGATTTTTTAATATTTAATATGGTATGGTAAGAATCAAATTTTATCTTTGTCCATAGAGATAACTTTTTACATTTATTAGTTGAAAAATCTCTTTCTTTCCCACTTTGTGAACTGACACCTCACTCTACCTGAGTCAGTCTATCTCTGGAGTCTCTATTTTATTCCACAGGTGAATTTGCACCCCTGCACCAGTGCCACACTATCTTCACATCGGGGGGACAAGTCACCTCTCTTTGCCAATTTTCCTTCTTGGATTCACTCCCTTCTACATAAATGTCATAATTGCTTTTATCAAGTTCTACAGCAAATCCTATTGAGATTTTAGTTGGGTTTGCATTGACTCCCTAGATTAATTTGGGGGAAATTGGCAGATTAATGAAATAATATCTTCCTACTCATGAACATGATATACTTCTCCATTTACTTTATATGTTCCTTAAATTTTATATTTTCCTAATAGGGATTATATATATCTTTTATTATATTTATTCTTAGTTCCTTGATATACTATAGGACTGCACATGATGCCATCTCTCTATATCATTGCTTGCTGCTGGTTTATAAAATGCAACTGAGGTTTACATTTTAATTTTCTATACTGCCACATTTCTAAACTCTCATTATTTCTAAAAATTTCTATGTACATTCTTCTGAATT